TTGATAATGTACTTTCGAATACCATACGTCCATACTTTTATACATTCTCTACGGTCCAATGTTGCTATGTCACAGTTGAAAATATCTCTATCAATAATCGACATATTTTTGTGTAAACTGAGAGTGTTGTCGTCTTGAAACTTCCAATCATTGTTAGTAAAGAAATCCAATGCCGATGTCAATTTATTTACTTTTTCATAAATATTTAATAATCTGAAAAAAAAAAAAATAATAAGGTATACTAACATCCACACTTTATGGCGGCTCGCAATTCCGCTCAAGACGCAGAACACAATTTTAGATATATGCGGAACGTAAAAGCGTAATCGTTCTTTCCTGCTTCAACAGTAAGCAAACTATGTTGTTATGAGGAGGGAAGAATCTCATGCGGCAAGGAAAACATTAAGTATTATTGTAAAGTTGTTTACCGGTTGAGGTGGGCCTAAGAAGAGATGGATGGATTGCGTGAAAGGTGACATGATTAAGAAGGAGGTGACAACAGAGACGACGATAGATAGATTGATTTAGAGGACGGAATCCTAGTGCACCGTCCCTACGTTAGACAAGGATAGGGAGATAATTATTCAAAGTAAATTTATCCCAAGTTATACACAAATATAATACGTATAAATAAATTAACTTACATTGGACGCCTGTTTGTGAGTCTGCAAGCAGTATCCACGATGAATGCAGGTACATAATGTAAGAGCCAGAATAGAATTGTAAACAAGAATTTATGCGTAGTTTGTATAGTAAAGCAATACCAAATCGCTCGTGATGTAATTAATTTCCTTCCAAAAGTCTCAAGAACATTGCCAAGTTCCGCTGAAAAGGTAACTGTATTAAGTAACAAAGAAATATAAACAATCGTAACAGTAAGATTGTATCAGAAATTTTACAAAACAGTCATTTTTTTACCAAGACGCCTAAAGCTTTGCTAAAAAGAAGGCCGATATACGGCAGCGCCGCACCAGGTTATGTTCGAATAGTTCAGATGTGGTATTGCGAGTCCAAAAAACTCTAAGCAACCGAGTAATCAATCCTTTTAAATCATCAGTAGTTGCTGACCGATGCCATTGGGGAAAACATCATTTCATTCACTACCATAACGTGTGCATTTTTCAACTGTTTCCATTGTCCAAAAACTTGTACAAACACATTTTGATATTCCAAAAAAAACAGAGATTACGAGAAGAAATTACCACGCGCAAGAAGTAAAACTCGTATGTGAGACTATCCATGTGTAAACAAGGCCTATATGTTCCTAACAGTTTTTTATAGCTATCTGAAGTTAGTAAAATTCATACATACACCATAATAACGGGTTGCGATTATTCGTTATGTTGTAAATTTTGATGTTGCCTTTATTGGTTTGTGCCTTGGCGGTCTCACAGGCGGCGACGAGCGTCGTGTTGGTGACCAGGTCAGCCGGCACCAAGCTCAGCACGATATTTTGACGCGTTCTCAACACGTGAATAATACCAGTCATCAAACCCAAAATAAGCTGGAAAACAGCACTTTATTATACATTTGTTGAGTATTCAGATTCAGGGATGCAATGGTTCGATCCCAATCGTGTTTTTCTATTTTTTATTTCTATATAAAACATATCGTCATCCCTGCCATTATTTTCGACAAAACAGAGTTAACAGTATATTTTAAACGGGGTTTTTGGCCTCAGAAGCCCACGATTAGTGTGATATGCAGTTCAACAAAATGATTATTATCGAAGTAGCCAAATGTAAGATTCACTTAGAGCTTATATCAGTTATTATGGCCATAACAATAATAGTGTACTAACTCCACTGGGACCCAATGAATTCATCGGATCAATCCATCCTGGCAATGGCTCACGATATGAAGAAATAACTGAAAAAAAAACAATGATCAAAACTAAAATTTAACCAGTTTCGCCGGTCAAATTTTAGGATAAAGTGAAGTGAAATTTTATAATACGGATAGCAAAAATAACATGTGGCCAAAAAGAATAGTATTTCATTGAAAAAAATTTAGTGTCGATTTTATATGTATTTTTTTATCACTTTCGATTATTAAAAATAATAATTATCATATCATATTATATGTTATTAATATATTAATAATAAAATTACAGCATTTACCGATTGCCGGTCTAACAATAGAGATAGGTAAATTTTCTGCTTCAGAACGCACAATCTCTTCGCCGAGTGCTTTTGAAAAGGAATAAGCGTTTGGCCAATCCGCTTTTACTCTGAAAAAAATTTAATATCATCACGTTATATACAGATGTCAAAGTTGCTAAAAAAGATAGAAAATTATTTTTTAATTCCCTATTAATATAAAAAAAAACTAGTGACAATTTTTAAAATTCTTTATAATGCAATAACGGTCTTTTACGGCAGAGTTACACGGTCTTTATTCTTTGTTGGTCTTCTGGGTCGAGTCCCGGTGGGTTCCTTTGGAGGAAATTCTCATTTGAGAATTGCCACCAATGATGTTTTAGTGAGTAGGAATCTTGTGTGAGGTGTCTTGTCCCAAAAAGGTATATGCAATGAGACTTGTCTTCATATAGTTTGAAGTATAACGTAATCAATAGTGTAAAACTTACTGTTGCATCATATTTTCTAATTTATTTTCATCAATAGTTTCTGCCAAATCTATGAAGGCATTTGGTGGTACAGGACTATCGTAAAACTGTTCCTTAACAGCTCGCCCCACTCGACTGTGTGTAGCGTGACTGTACGCTGTGGATACGTGAACTATAGACCTGAAATAAATATACCAATTTTATATAAACATCTTCAGAAACTGATGAGAAAATAGTTCCCTAAATTGTCCAAGTCTTGGGGTCCATGAAAAAACCAGCGCGCGGGAGTGTATGATGGTGGGAAATTAGGCGAGAAATAAGGGCCTGTAAATTGGAGGAGAAATGTAACAGTAATTTAACTAAAACTAAATAAATTTAAGAAGTGGTCTACGAGAAAGTTTTTCAATCTCTGTTGTTATCTTATTTACAAACTTTACACGTAGAGTTGATATTAACTAGTATAGTGTGTATACTTGCCTTAATTCTTTACAACATTTAGCTAACCGCAATATCTCCCTGGTTCCTCTAACATTGGTCAGTGCAACCACTTTCATACTCTCATTAAAGTTCACCGTAGCTGCTGTATGGAATATTATGTTCACCTGAGAAAAAAAATCATGGTCTCTCAAAGACTTTCAATTGAGATGTTACATACGTTTCAACCAACCCGCACTTGGTCAGCGTGGTTGACTATGGCCTAGTTACCCGTAACTAAGGGTAGGCTCTCAGCCCCTCGTTGGCGACGTATAGTGAGCTGATGATGATGATAATGATACGTTTCATTATCTTGCATACTTCCGATTTCGTCCTTTTTAATATTATATCAAAGAGGTCGTATTTAAACTGACGCTAATATCTTACTAATATTATAAATGCGAATGTTTGGATGGATGTTTGTTAAAAGGTATCTCCTAAACGGCTCAACGACTCTATAATCATAATGGGAAGTTCAATTTACAATACTATCAATAAAATCCTATAAAAAGTAAATAAATGTTGTCTGTGACTGACCTGTCCTGTAATAAGCTCCCAATCAGACGCGCTTAGTCCAAGCTTCACTTCGCTGACGTCACCAGAAACTGCTAATACATTGTCCGCAAACTTTGCCTTTCGATTGTGCAAACTATCAAATACCTGTAACAGTAAAATATGAAATTACATTAACATGTTGTAAGTTAAATAACAACGTACTTTAAATGGACAGAGAAGGGGATCTAGACATCCCCTCCTGTGTCGACTGCAGCTGATGCTGCTGTCTCTACCACTGTGTTATGTATCGTGTTGTTGTTAAAAATCTCACCGGGTCTTGTAGAATCTCCTTAACTCGCTGCTGTGCAGTTTTTCCCTTTTTTGCTCGCAGTAATAAATAAACTTTATTCACGTTACAGCATCTGATAAAAAATATTATTTCCTTGTATCATACTTTTTAAGTCATTGTGTCCACATAAAGTTTTTTTTTTTTTGTATAATACAATATGGCTTACTAGCTGCCAATTAATAGGCCTCTGTCGTGGTCAAGCGGGCCATCCGTTGCACGAATTAGTTGGCTCGGAAGGAAGCATTTAGGTCAGATGAGTGTGGCGCGAAAGGCCTAATGTTAGTCTCCTTTCCATTCCCATCCTTTACTTATAAAGAAAGTATGGGAAGGAGATTTAATGGAGTAGGGAAGGCATATAAAGAGGAAATGTTCTCTGTGCATCCACTCCTCCGTCGCTTCGCTATACCGAATACAAGTGGCCGCTTGCACATTTGCCATGTTACAATATAAAAAAAACTAAAATTGCTTTATACGCAGCGATCCGATGTTCCGAGCTGTCAAGATATTTGACATCCACTTTACCTAAATAATTTCTCGAGCAGTTGTTTCCCGAGGAAGCCGGAGCCACAGGTAACGAACACATTGGTACCGGAGTAAAACTTCTCCACGCTGGAAGCTCCGCTCGCGATGATATTTGCCACATCGTGTTGACGATTGACCGCTTCTTTCTCAAAAGCTAACATTAATTCCGACATATCTAAATAAAAAAAATTACAGATTAATAGAAATTTAATATTTTTTGTAACCATCAATAGAAACCCTCGTGTTTATTGTTGTTAAAACTACGAAATAACAATAAAACAATTATAACAACAATTATTGTTATTTCGGAGTCGGTGTCTGCCAACAATTGTAGGCATATATTACAAGAAAGAAGATAACTTTCTTTGCTTTAAGATATTCAGTGTATTTTGTTTGAGATTTTTTTGCACTCAGGAATCTTTTTTTTTCTTTATTCTGTTTGCATTTTAAAATTTGTATATAGGACTATTATTTTTTATGTAAATATCATAAGATTAATGAAAAAAAAACATAATAATTAATAGAATAAAAAACTAAACTTACTTATAATTTTCACTCACAAATTATTCACAAAGTATTTATTGTTTTGTAAAACGTGTTGTTTGTTCAACAGTAAAGAATGTAATAAAAAACTTAATGATTCCCAAGTACAGTTATTCGGTTAATATTATTCATGGTATACTAGTAGTGACTCGCAGTTTTGTTTCCCGATAAATAAAAAACTTATAATTAATTAACCTCTTGCTACCACACTTAGGCTCATCATACACAAAGCAACATAAATCTTTAAGACTTGGCGATTTTAGTCGCTAAACGACTTCAATGCAATTTTTACGGGTTCTTACATAGACATGCATCGCCGACTTTTTATTCTTTAGTAGCCAAAACCAATCGCTCGCGACTTGGGAGTCTATCACGAATATTTACGATATGCCTTTTCGTGCCGTCATCGTAAAGATATGTCGAAACTTGTATGAGATTTGTAGTTGTACTTTAGGATTGCTGTAAAATACATTTTTTTTCGATAATTCCGAATACTTTCTCGCAGAACTTTCCTGTCTAATTAGGCCCACTGTTTGTCCTGATCGTTGTGAGTAAAGTCGCTGTTATTATCAAGATGGGTCATTGGATCAAGAGCAAATCTTTACAATTTACATGTAGTCGCTAAGACAGTACTGACCGAATTGACGACAGAAAATTATATTTTGTAACATTTTTGTCTGTCTGTTTGCAGGTCTTAAACTGAAACTATTTTGACAAGACTATGACTAAAAGGTAACTTATGTGATGTAAGAGTAACCTAACTTATTTATCTTTAATTACCCGATGACGATATTGTGGGCGCCCGCTAAAATTAATTAAAATAAATTATTGCATTCAACTTGGATTTTAATACAATTTAATTTGTAGACTATACTTATGTAATAAATTATTATTACATTATCAATATGATATTGTTGACAGAATATAAAAAAAACTTAAATGTAGTATCAGTAAAATACAAGCTGTCGCCCGCGACTTCGTCCTCGCGAAATTGAAAAAACATAATTAGTAGCCCATCTGTTCTTCCAGACTATTTTCTATATGTATACCAAATTTAATCGAGATCCATACAGCCATTCTGGAGATACCTTCAAACATCCGTCCATCAATCCATATAAACATTCGTATTTTTTATATTAGTAAAAGAAGTCAGATTAACGATGTCAAACCGTGTCCGCTATTTATTCACTTATTTTGTTTCACAAGTCATAAATTATAGCCAGTAAAAATGTTGAAAGATGATGTTTAACAAAAAAATAAAAAAAAATCGATTTTTTAACGAATTGCGAACAGAAAGAAACTACTGAAGCTACGACCGAAATAGGTAAAAAGTGGTTGTTCGCTATAGACAGGTACGCGAGAAATTATTTTTTAGGGTTCCGTACCTTGAAAGAAAAAACGAATCCCTTATAGGATCACTTTGTGGTTCGTCCGTCTGTCTGTCTGTCTTTTTTTCGATATTATTATACATACAGACACTTCAATTCAATTAACTGTATTGATAAAAAACAACATATGTAAATTGTTTGTTTCGAATACAAAATTATGTACGCACGTTAACAAGTTTGGCCCGTTAGAAATGTTTTATTTATTTTATTTTTTTAAATGATGGGAAGGGGCAAATGTTTTTTTTATATATCATAAGGTGGCAAACGAGCGAGCGGCCACCTGAAATCGCTGAAATAGCGAAGTGACCGTTGCCCATAGACATACGCAATTGCATATGCGTTGCCTACCTTTAATCGACGGAGGAGAGAATGCACAGAAAGAAAATATTTTCTCTTTCTATGCATCCTCTCATCCGGAAAGTCCACTTCCACTTCCCAACCCTTCCTCATAAGAAAAAGGGTGGGAAGGGAAAGAGCACTAAATTAGGCCTCCGGGACGCACACTCATCAGACTGTACGCGGAATAGCTTCCACTTCACGCCTGTCTTCTGTATGGTCGTGGTATTTCACCGGGCGAGCCGGGCCAATTCGTGCGAAGATGTTAAAGCGGGCTCTACCACTGTTAAAAGTGTGTATTAAGCCTACGGATCACATACTCGTAGGTCTAAATAAGGACCTACTTCTATTGCACGCCTGCTTTCGCTATCGGTACCACCTGCTCGATGCCATTTGCCGGGCCTTTAAACCTAAAGAAATAATTTTGAATATGAAATTAATGTTTAAAATTGAGGAATCTTCAACCAACCCTGTGCTGGTTCGGTGTAAGAAGGAAGAATTGAAAAGTAGTCTAAAAGTCGCCCATACCTGATTCGATTTTTTTTCCGTAGAGAGTACTATGCGGGGATGTTAGAGTCACTTGATATATGTACTAAAGTGACAGCAAACTTATCAAAACTGATTTAAAAACGGCTAAACACCCACGACATTCATTCGCGGACCCTGCCGCGAAATAATACCAGTACCACTCATTCTGATGAAGGGCCCCCGATGGGCTCGAAACTAGTCGGTGCCGCCACCGGACGAATATACGTGAGTGTTTAGCCGTTTTTAAATCAGTTTAGTATAATGTCTAACGAAAGTTTGAATAATCTAACAAACTTATCGAATTTATTTCCTCCATAATAAGATCATATCTTTTAAACTCGTGTTAAAACTTAAATTTACTGCGATGTAAAATAAATCCTAAAATAGTATACAAATATGCTTAGATTAAACTCATGGTCTATAAAATAACTTATTTTTTTTTAATTAAATAAGTATAAATTAAAATAATAAAACAATATAACGAACGCGTGAAATGATTATAAATGCAATGAACCGGCGCAATTAGCAAAGACCTTTGTTACTGTTGTATTGTGTACTGTTAAGTAGGCATGTACAGTCACCGCCACTTGCGCTGTTCGACTTACAGAATAATTAACTCGCTTTTGTCAAAACTTCTTTAAAACATTAATTTTCACTATTTTTCTGACAGGCGCAGTCGTGTTGTGGAACGGTCTTTCTAAGCCAGTACGACAAGCAATGAGTGTACCTCTTTTTCAAAGGTGTCAGCACATTGCAGAACCTCTGGAGTTGCACATATCCTAGGGCAGCGATGACCACTTTGTTTTTCCGCTGCACGTTTGTTTTAAAAAAAACTATTGTAAGCCATCACTAATATATTATAGTTTTCAGATATCTTAGCTCCTCCTAACTTCGCGCGAGTCTCTGCGCAGAACTGCGCAACGCACAGATGACCTTGGACCGGCAAGATGTTTGAAAAGAGTTATACTATGGTGTTTAATACGTTGTTGAAACATTCACGTTAAAGCTACTGGTTCTTCTTCTTTAATAACAAATCGTATAAACAATATTAGCTTAAATCCCACACACCTTCAATTTCAACTGCACAGTTTAACTGTACAAATAAAGGTACGGTGCTTTAGAGGTGACATACTGCCACCACTGTATGAATTAATATTTCGACTGCGTCAATAAATATATTATTTTTTTATAAACAGCAATACAATAAATAAACATCGGCTTGTTGTAAATTATGTGCCGTTTATACTAAAAGAAAAACATAATGAATTTCAATTTACGCTTGCATAAATTTTATTTTACTTGAACAATATTATTTTAATGGAAAATTCAGATTTTTTATTTTTTTATGTTATTAAATAAACAAAATTGTATTTAAGACATAATATCTTAATATTTTAAGCAAATTTTTAATTACAACCGTTATTTTTTTAACAATGTTTTTTCGGCAGGTTTAATCTCATTATTTTATGTTATAATTCGTTTTACGACCTTCTTTGCGCGGAATTTAAAAGAAAAAAAACTAAACACTACGACACATCATCGAGAAGAATAAAAAAAACATAAAACGATTGATTTTGTTGGACTAAATTTTAAAACCAGTGTATTAAAAACAAAAAACATTGACGTAACAAAATAAACTTTATTTGTACAGATAACCTTAAAATTAATTATTAAAAATAGATGACTATATTATTCACAATTTTTACTACTACCTAATAAAGTTATAAACATTATGGTTCCAGAGTTCATAATATTAAAATACAGCTCATATAAATTACAATTTTATGAAAAAAACAATTCATATTGAAAATCGAATTTAATATGTGACAATTTTGACCTGTCACGTGTGACATTACAACTTTTCAATATAAATCCATAGACAATGACATTGACATTGACAGGGATGTAAATATAATTTCTCATTTCCACAGAATTCAATAAAAAAAACATCAATCCAAAAGCAATATTTACATTACTCAATATGTTGAATATATTGGGTCAAGACAAGTTTAAATATATTGTAAATATTGCATAACAGAAAAGGAGTTTTACTAAGAATTCTCACCAAAGTTAAACAGAGCGGTTGCGACTAGAAATGGCTATAAATTCAACGAAAAACATCAAATCGTAAATAATTCATTTTACAAACAATAATTATATTCTGAATTACTTATTAATAATATTTTCCTTTCCAGACCAGAGATTCTTAAATTACATGACCCCACGACGTCTGCAAGACCTGGCAAATCATAGAAAATGTAATTAAATGAACTTTGAAGAACTAAATAGCAGAAAATTAACACTTTTTTAATACTATAAGAAAAGAAATCTGGGAATCCCTGATCTAGAACATTAGCCAATAAATATTCTTGGTACATATTTTATGAATTATTTGTCTCATCTTTTGACTCGTGCACTTCTCTGACCAGCTCGGCCAACTCGTCCGCCCCGTAGCCAAGCAGTTCCCGAAGATCGCAAACAAATTTGTACACAAATCTACAACAAATAATTCAATATTTCATTACTAGAATAAAAGCAAGTAGATTTTTCCACTTTCGATGCGTTCTTTGTTCTGTTTTTTTTTTTTTGCCGTGAGATATTATTGTCAAAGAATTGTGTTTCAATCATTTAATATTATTTTATTAACTCTTTTGATGCTATAATTTTAAAATGCCGGGTTCATGCTGCGACAGAGTTATAAACCGGTAAGAGGCGCTGCTGTCGCATATCTCGGTTTGTTCTGTCACAAAATATCTAAACCTATTTAGGCATATAAACTGCCAGTAAAATAAAAATACAAGACATCTACAGTACGACAAAACTTGTAACACTTTTCTGACATTGACTGGGGTGGCGCTAGTGAGCTGTCATAATTTAGTTTGATTCGATCGATTCGGGTCAGATAAGAGTCGATTATAATTAAAAATGTTATATGACCTCTTTCCGGCGACTTTGGCGATCATATCTCCATCGTAGTAGTATCGCAGCGCTCTGGAGAGTTTCTCGTAGTTCATAGCGGGTTTGTGTTTGCGCGCACCCCACAGCCACGCCACGCGCTCCGGCTCCAGCAGCTTGAATTCACCCTCTGTACCTATAGTTAATTTTACTAATATTATAAATGCAAATATTTGTATGTATGGATGGATGTATGTTAGCTTGCATCTTCAAAACTTCTGCATGGATCCCAATGTAATTTGGCATAGATATAAAACATAATCTGAAAGAACACATAGGCAACTAATTATGTCTTTTTTTAATACTGCGCAGACTGAGTCACGAGCCACAGTTAGTCTCACTAATATTATAAAAGTGTAAGGTTAGATGGATGGATTTATGTTAGTAGGTTTGCCCAATGGTTTAACGGAGCTTGATGAAATTTGGGACAGATGTAGAACATAGTCTGGAAGAACAAATAGGCAACCAATTACGTTTGTATAATATAGCCTGTAATTAAGCATAATTATAACTAACTTTTGCAAGCGACATCATCAGCGCATTTTGTCACTGAAGTCAACACTCACCATGCCACCGTATGACATCAAAGTACTCGGCGCTGGTGAGCAGCTCCAGCAGGAACTGCCACAGCTGTATCTGTCCATTGTAACCGGTGCGCGACGACACGTACAGGCAAACTTCGTCCTCATTTCGCTCTCGTAACGATAACTGTAGTAAATATAAGAAATTATTAGAAGAAAAAAATAGTAAAAATTTATTTTTATTTATTTCGACTTTTGTATTACAATCCATAGCTGCGCTACGACATTTTCTTATATTAAAAGGTGCAAACGAACAAGCGGCCAATTGAATTCGCCGAAATAGCGAAGCGAACCCTGCCCATAGTAACCAGCAATTGCAGTTACCTACCATTGATAGATGGAGGAGGGGATGCACAGAAAGAGGATATTATAATATGTTCATTTACTTTATTTGCAAAGACCTAAAAGCTACTTGTATTATTTGATTTAGTATATATCAACAGTGCAAAGGTTACAACTTACCTGTTTGCTCACTTGTTTGGGTTTCTTTTTGATTGCAGACTGCGGCGTCTCCAGTACATCCTTTACCGGCTGCTCGTCGTTCTGAACCACAGCTGGAATACATTGATTAATTATTATAATTAAATATAGATAACTCCATATAAAAATGTTCTTTTGATTTCTCACTCACCGATAAATTTACATTTCCTTAACAATTCAAAGTGTGTCCAAAACAAATCTCCCGGATCCGAAGGAACTTTCTCTCTGAAATAGTTTGATAAAATCTTTAATAATTTTAATTGGAATTTGAAGTTAATTTAGTATTTATATACAAAAGAATTAAAAATATCACATAATTTGTCTTATTAGTGTTACCAAAGAACATTTTATTGGTATCATACCATCCTTTTTAAAAATACCTTTATTCCTTAAAAAAATTTGAATTGAATTTCTTTAAAATTGTAATTTTTTTACTTACTTGAAATCAATATTAGTGATGGCACACAACTCCGCTCCACTGATGCTCCAGTCTGACAGTTTAACGCCAGTCAAATTGAACTGACGCACCGCCCACTGGATCCATAACTTAACGTGCTGCACAGACCTACAGACAAACAATCATATGGTTTACATTATGCCAGCACAGTAACACAGTAGCGCTGACCTGACAGTGTTTACATTACGTTACAGTTGTATATGACACCACTGATTTTGAGCGCTACTGTCTTCCTGTACTGGTATAATGAAATTAAGCAAATATTACTAACACAGTCATTCATCTTATTATCTAAGAAATAAATGGGAAGGGAATATTTTTTTTACTTTTCCAATCCAATAGCTTAATAGTTTAATGTATGGAGTGCCAATAAAATGATCGTATTTCCCCGCCAAATGTAATTTTGTTCTTATTATATTATTGTTTAAGAAACAAGGAGAGATTACAGGAAAAAAACAAATAAACCCATGCATTGAGAAGAGTTTAAATTTATAGGACTTTAAGACAACTATCTTTATTGCATTCATCTAAATATTTAACTTACCAGTCAGCGGGATCATCAGGTATATGAACCCTGCTGTGGTCGGCTCTGAACTGGCCGTCCACTACCCATTTGACAGCAGCGGCGTGAGGCTGTGGCACCTCCCCCTCCATCTGCCCATCACCCTCTTCCTCCACCGCTACTGATGTCTGACCTACATTTTCCGCTGCTGCTTGCTCCACTTTCATTTCTACACATTCATCTGAAATTTAAATACTAAATGTTATTATACTATCTTACTATAGTTATAAATGCGAATAGATGTTTATTAGAAGGTATTTCCAGAATGGCTGCATAAATCTCATTGAAATTTGTCATGTAGGACATAGCCTGGAAGGACACATAGGACCATTTAACAGTGGTAGAGCCCGCTTTAACATCTTCACACGAATTGGCCCGGCTCGCCCGGTGAAATACCACAACCACACAGAGTTCAGGCGTGAAGTGGAAGCAATTCCGCGTTTCGTCTGATAAGTGTGCGTCCCGGAGGCCTTATTTAGTCGTCTTTCACTTCCCATACTTTTTCTTACAAGGCAAGGATGGGAAGTGGAAGTGGACTTTCCAGAGAAGAGGATGTATGGAAAGGGAAGATATTTTCTTTCTGTGCATCCTCCCCTCAGACGATAAAGGTAGGCAACGCATATGCAATTTGCGTACGTCTATGCGCAACGGTCACTTCGCTATTTTGGCGATTTCAGGTGGCCGCTCGCTCGTTTGCCACCTTATAATATAAAAAAAAATAAAGGAAAAAACCTTTTTTTATAACTCCGTGTGGAGCGGCTCGTGAGCATTGGCTAGTAATAAATGAAAATAATTATTATAAGGCACTCTACTTACACTCATCTGTTGGTTGTGGCAATTGTACCAATTCTTCATCAGGCTTTAACACATCAAGGATATTAATTTTTTTCTCAGCCGGTTTAATTTGAATATTTACTTGTACAACACCTTCCCCTTTAATACATTGTTCCACTAGAGTTTTGTGATTTTCTAACTGTAAACAAAAACCAAACATTTATAGTAGTAGTCCATGTTACAATGATTTTGTCCAATCAAATTAAACTGTCTAGGCGAATCTGTGGCACAGAATATATTGACTTATGCTTTGTTCTGATCCAAAGCCTTACACATTGTAAAAAATAGTTCAAGTGCACATTTTATGCTGAAATAATTAAATTTACCAAATAATTCAAGTAAAATACTTTACTCATAATATGAAATAGGGTAATTACCACTATACATAAAACTAGCTGTTGCCTGTGACTCAGACAGTCCTCACAGTTCTGGAGCTTAATAACCATTATGCTTCCATGCATCCATTGATCCATCCATATGTCGAATCATTTGCATTTATGTAATTAGTAAGAAGTAACATTTGATGTTTTATATCCATCAAGTACTATCAAGTACTTATATTATGCTATATCTTATTGATAACTACTTACCATTTTAGCATCCTGAAGCCAAAATGTGTAGTCAGATAAATCATCACCCAGTCTTTGCTCCAACATTAACCTAAGTCGGGACAATCTTGTTCTGATATCCATCAGTTGTACTATCACCTCTTCTGGAAATAAATTCATTGGGTAATGTAGGTAAGGTAAAGAAAAAAAAATATAGTTCCAATTGCTATACTATTACATATTGATAAAAGGAAACCTAAATAATTAACATACCTGAGGAATCACTGCTTTGCATAGTGTCTTCATCCTCTACAGTGTCAGAGAAAACAGTCAATGGTGTTGGCAAGATCTCACCTCCGGAATGAATTAACCCTGAAGGGACATAATTATTAGTTTTAATGTGACCATACTGCCATTATGTCAATTGTTTCTAAACCCAAAATATATAATATATAAAGCTTTAAAGTTATTGTAAGGAAAATGTTAGTTATGGAGTACATTTTAGAAACTGCTAAAAGTATACATAAACATTCCTAATAATATATCTATCATTTAATGTCTGATAATGAATATGTTCCACAAAAATATTAACTTTCAATCGCTTCTTTCACCAACAATTTATTTCTCATGTTGTTGTCATATTGTTTACTTTTAAGTTTAAACATGAATAAACATAAACTTTTAAAGTTAAGATGATAAGACACATAAAAAGTGCTAGTTATTATTGTAACTTACCTAAATCAGTCTCAGTCACATACTGAGGCATACCAGACAGAGGATCTGACCTTTCTACATCCTCAGTTTCATCTTCAAAAGAAGTTTCACCACCTTCCATTTTAATTGTAGAAACGTTTAATAATTCATTTATATCAGACACCTCCATCATTAATATAAAACCTTTTCACATTAACACTGTAACTTATATTCTTGGAACAAATTTTTCGTGCACAGTGTTTGTATATACTGTTGACAATGTTTTCCTGTTTAAACTTCTGAAAAATTATTACATTTGAAAAATAATAGGAAAAGGAAATTGGTTACAGTTCCTCTTCCGCGTGCGCCAAAATCACAAATTCATAGACAAGACAAAATCAAAGAGTATAAAATATTATAACCTACGTTATTCGTTAAACACGGATAACAGTTTTTTAACGTTATAAATTAAGATCAAATACAAGAGTATCGCAGAGACTTTTATAAAGTTAAAAAACTTTTAATTTCTTGAAACTTCAAGCTTAAGTAATGCGAATAAGTAGTTTGCCTTGATCTTAAAAAGGCTTTTCGAATGAATCGAATGCTCTAAATCAAATGATGCAATATTGACTTGAAGACCATTTCATATGTTTTTTTATGGATTAGCAATGAGAAAAGAAACAAATAATGGTTTAAAACATTTAAGGAAACTTACAGTACCTGCGCAAGACACACACCATCGTAAAAGTAAAGGCCACTGCCTGCCTCCCGTACTGTCTGCCTCCAAAAAAAGTGGCGGCTAAAGCGGAATCAATCGCATTCAAAGAAAATGAAAAGTCATAGTTTTTATCCAAAAATGTTAGTTTATTTTATAAAACTAATCAAGAATAATACAATCAATTAAGCTCCTTTTCAAGTTGTCATTTTTTTTTTACAAAAATAGGTAAATTGTGGTTACAATGGGAACTTCCGTACAGCCAGAGACGACGACGGGGTTCTGTTTTCACGCTGATATTAATATTAATAATAAACGAATTATTTTTTTCACAATTTCACGCAGAGGCAAAATCAAGTCAAAAAACATGTGTTATTGTTTTCTTTTGTTAAGGAAAGGATTATCTTGAGGATTATCAATTTTTTCGAATGGGTAATAAGGATGGTTCTGCCAAAACGACGGCAATGTATATCTCACGTTATTATGAAATTGGTTGATTTTTTCAATTTCATATTGCTCCAATTTGAAATCGAAAATATCAATATTTTCCTTCAAACGTTTCAAGTTTGTAGACTTTGGTAGTGGCACAACATTTCTATCGACCTGAAAAAATATTGTGGATGAAATTCTTGAAACTTACTACAATCGCAAATAATACTGTACATGAATTGATTGATTTATATGAATACTAGCTGTCGCCCGCTACTCCCTCTGTACGGAGTTAAAAAAATCTTAAGTAGTGGCCTGTATGTTCTTCCAGACTATATTTTACATTTATGCCAAATTACAGCAAGATCCATGCATCCATCTAAACATTTGTATTGATAATATTAATAAGAAGTAAGATTACCTGCCACCTTAACACGACTTGCGGTGTTGTTTTATTATATTTCCTAGCAATTTCAACTAGTATTGGTTCATCTATCTTAGGTCCCGGAAATTGCATTCCGTATCTCATAACTAAAGAACCAAATGGACTGTATCCCATCACTACCATGCTTTCTGACTTTGCATATTCTATGATCTCAGATTGGATCATTTGTGGATGGACCTGAAAACATAACCTAATTACAAAATCGTTTTATAACAAAAATATACATACATATTTATCCGCGTTAACTAATGTACATTTTTGACACTTGGGTTAATTACATTGATTATTTATACTGTTAATTAAGAATGAATATAATACATGTGCTACGAATCGTAATGCATTTAGAAATAACTTCATTTACTAGTCAGGGCCGTCTTAACCCGAGGATGCAGAGCGCCCGGGCGCCATGTCTTTGGGGCGCCAAGGCGGCTCGCCCTGAGGGCGCTAGTAGACATAATATTTTTACACACGAGCGCCTAATGTTTAAGACGGCCGTTAGCGATCTTTTAAACCCCTAAACCTACTTTAATTACATTCGTCGCATATTTACCTCAACTTGAATAGCCACTGGCTTAATAGATGCTTCCTTTATGAGTCTCCTCAATTGATCCAAGTTGAAGTTAGAGACGCCAATAGATTTTGCGAGACCCGTTTTCTGGACATCTTCCAATCCTCGCCACGTCTCCATGAAGTCGACATCGGAGAATGTGTAATCATCCTGTAGAGAACACTAATATTATGATATGTTCATAAGTAATAATTTTACGAACGATGATTTTAATAATTTTAAACTTTTTGCGCCAATCTTATTTAGTTTACTCACGTTTAAACCAATCGGCCAATGCATCAAATACAAATCTACGTAATTAAGACCCATTTTATTTAAAGATTGTTTTAGTGCCAGAGGTACTTGTTCCCTCTTGTGTTGCGTGTTCCAAAGCTGAAAGAAAAACAAATACATTAGTACCCACATCTGCGAAACAGATTAGGCATTGATTTCATTTTCGCACGAAACATTGATTTACACGACACGCCCACATATGGCACTTATCCTATTATAAAAATAAAAAAAATGTTATTTTACACATTGTAAGGAAAACGAGTAAAACCGACAAAGTATATTTTTTATGAACTATATTATTTAGTTCGTTTTAAATACGAATTTACGTTTGATGCATTCACATCTTAACCACTTATCCGTTAATGGAATATCTATGATCAATGGTCGCATCGCTATTGCACCGAATCAAGTGGTCACTTGCTCGTTTGCCACCGTATAATGAAAAAAACATTAAGAACATATACAATAGCCTTGATGGCCGCGTGAAAAGCTTCAGTATTCGTATACCTTTGTTGTAACAAAAACATCGTCTCTGGTAATCGCACCTTCTTCGATCTTCTTCCGAATGCCTTCACCAACTTCTTCTTCGGTTTCGTAAATGGCTGCCGTGTCGAAGTGTCTATAGCCGATATCTATTGCATTCATAACAACATTGGCTAGTTGTTTGTTTACTGATTTCACCACTCCACCCTGTTACATCATATTTAATTAGATAATAAAAAAATAAAATAAAATCAACACAATATTCAAAAAGAGTTTGTTGCAAAGTTAAATTACTAATAAACAAAAAAGAAAGAACATTATGGTTACTGAATTAGTAAGAGTAACAATAACCGTTGAAGACTTTTAGTCACAGAGCTGTTACGCAAAATAAATCTTTATATCACACCTGATCAAATCCCAAGTAAGTGCCTAAAGCAATTGCAGGCATCAATTTTCCATTATTCAGTTTCAATTTCGGCACTTCAACGCACATTATACCAGACAACGCCATCTACAAAATAAAAATTAAAATAATCTTTGCATATTATAAATCTTGCGATCTTTTAACGCGCGACGAAAAAACGCAAGGATGCGTCGACTAATAAAGTTAATCGTTAAGTGGTTTATCTATTTTAAAGTAAACAGAGACTTCGATTTATCATACTATCCCATCGGAAAGTTACTCGAATATGTCTCTTTGAATTTAATACGGTTTCCTCCTAACATCTTGACTATTATTCATAGGTTTATGAAGTTAAATTAGCGCTTGATATTACCTACTAGTGTTTTTGCAGTAACACGTAAATATAAAATGGAAGGTCTAAGAAGCCTAGTGAAGGGACGCAAGAGGCGATCGACCTTGGAAAATACCATTGTATGTAGGTTAGTACAAAAAACATTTATAGTCGCATAGTCTGCATATGTATGTCCGATTTAAAATGCACAAGGAAACTTTATATTGTCTTTAAAATAAAACAGTATCAAAAATAACTTTTCAAGAAACCTCACAACACATGAGAATGCTATGGTAATTTTTGTGTTTGTAATTCATGAATAACGAAACAAAACAGATAAATTTACTCGAAATATTCAAATTAGACAAAGTCAAAGGATGTCCTAAATTAAAAGTGTTTAATAGATCGATAAATTGAACTAAACAAGGAAAAAAAACTTAAAACTTAACTTTAATGAAGAATTATAGGCACAATATATTTTTATACATATTTTGGTAGTGAAAACTCACGTTAAGTTTACCCCAATGATGAATAGTTTAATGATACACCTCTCTATAGTATTCCTAAATTAGAATAGGTTGATGTTATATGAACGTAATAATATGAAAACTAACTGTTAACCATGCATTCTACTTTTATAATTAAAAACAAAATAGTTAGAACCTTCTCCTTTTTTAAGTTTGCAAAATGTATTGTGGGTAGGTGGCTCGCAATAACTAATACGCAAATAACCGTATTTCTACATTATCAATCATCATATTTAACTTACGTTAACAACGACAATTTTGTTATTAAAAATAAAAAAGTGAAGATTTATTTAAAGAATGAAACTTGTTTCAGTATTCCGTGAAAATATTATAATGGCCGAATTAAGACTAACTCAAAAGAAAACGTTTTTGAAACCGTTATTTTGAAACACCCTAATATTACAATAAATATCGATGCCGTGTTATAGAAAACCTATTTCATTTTAATTTAATTTTCTACATCGTGTACTCTTTTGTTTGCGTTTATTTTATGTTACGTATTTAAAATTAAAGGACATAATTTCATATCACATAATTTCATATCCAATTGAAACTATTTATAAATGCTAATATTTAATAAACACGATTTAGCATTAATAATAAACAAAATAAGATAAAAAAACTTGTTTAATTATTAAAAGAACATATGAAAACGCATAAAAATAACGCATAATTCTACTCACCACAGACAACAGCCCGAACAAAGATGAACAACCGTTTCCCGCCATGGTTGACACTGACACTAAACTATCCTGCCTGTGCAATTATTTTATCCTACCGCATTTATTTAAATTTTCTTTTAGCTGGAGCGCCTAATAACGGGTAGTCGCGCGATGTGAATAAATAAAGCAGACAATTCCATACAAATGGCGGTTCACGTTGCTTGCCACATACGAGACAACAACTGTTAAAAAACTCATTAATTAACATATATGGTTGAAAAAAATATTATCTTTGAATTTAGAAATCTAACGTTTAGACCCATATGAGTTTTTTTTTAAATCGTAAATTGACCTTGAAAATAAAGCTTCGATATAGTTCACAATAAATGGTTATTAACCCGCGCTTATCGTCCTCTTTGTTTACATTAACGGTATCTAATTCTACAGCTTTAAAACCTCATTAAACTTGAACTTTACTATGATTACATGGCCGATTTAATGCTTTGCGCTGCTTTATATATTACTAGCTGACGCCCGCGACTCCGTCCGCGCGGAATTAAAAATAGATGTTGGCCGATTCTCAGACCTACTCAATATGCTCACAAAATTTCATGAGAATCGGTCAAGCCGTTTCGTTGGAGTATGGAAACGAAAATTGTTTGTGATTTGTCCGTCACAATTGTGCGACGTTGTACCACAATTGTAACATCTCTCTAAGGAACTTGGGTTTAAATAAAACACATGAAATATATCATAGACAATTCACTCACAATAACAAATCATCACAAATAATAAAGCACCTGTACAGCAAATCAAACGGAATGTATCAATTAATACCAACCAAGAAAGTTATAGACGAAACGCTTTCAAACAAATACAGAATTATTATTATATAGATTAAATAAAACATAATTACGATAAAAGCCAATAAAAAATATTCATGTAAGTAAAAATTCTGGGACAGAAGGCCCAGTTTACATTATTCCAGTCCAGGGATGGATTCAATCACTGGATTAAAATTATGTAAACTAAGTTTGAACCGGCGACGTTTCTCAGTCTATAAATTTCGTTAGTTTTGCGTGATTGTATGTATGTACGGATATATATAATTCTTATAATACATTAAAGCGATATTATTGGCTATTCACGTACACACAATTATTATTGTACATCACATATATTTGTTTTAATGATCAAAGAAAACTTTGTAAAGGAACAATAACGGCATTAGATTTTTTTAATATTTTTGTTAAAATGTAATTCATAATTATGAATTTCGTTTACATAGTTTAAGTCTAGATTTGAATCGACTTATACTAAATCTAAATATTTTTTTGCATATATAATACATTGATCATTACAACAAATATATATTATTTCTTTAACATGTACATGAATATGTCTATATACTATGTATATGATTAAATTTCTAATCTGTATGTTCGATATACATATATCTCTAGGTGCTAGCTAATGTGCTATCGAAAAATAAGTTTTCTTAATATTAATTAGGTACATTATATTTTTTGATGTGTTTGATAATCACAAAAATAATTTGAGAACACTTGATGGTCAAAATTTGTGTTAAAAGTAATAAAAAAAAAACATTTTCCTAAAATATACAAATTGCTATTTTTATATTAAACTTCCGGAGAATTTTAAATTAAATTTCTTAAGAAAATATTATAACCATTGTTAAGCTACGATGAACTATGAGAAATTAATAATCAGAATTAAAAAAAAAATGAAATTTACAAGAGAGTTTAGACAACAATATTTGACTATAGAGTATTTTTACAACATAAATGAAAACAAAAGAATCAAAATTTTTGTGTTAAAAAAAAAATTACACATTTAGAGATTACTGATTTATATTAATTCTAAATTTAAAGCTTTTAATAAGATTGCTTAATTTTAAGTCAATATTCAATCATAAATACGATTAACTTATTGTTAACCGGTTTTATCCAGATGTAACTATAACTCAATTAATATGATTCAATTTAACCTTTTCATCCTTTCTATAAATATAAAATTAAATTGATAGTACATTACAATAGTAAAATAAGTACAAAACAAAAAAAAATACAAAATTAATAATATTCTATAATTTCTATCTTTTGTAAAATAGAGGAAAATATAATATAAATAATATCAATTTAAATATTACTTAAACTACATATATAATTAACTTTCTACACAATCAAATAGTTATATGACACCCATAGACTAGACAACGCCAAAATAGACAGGACATTCACAAATTTTATTGAGAAAATTACATCTTTATTCAAAAACGACTTTTCATTTGTTAAAAAAACAATTTGCGATCGAAGATTGTTCTACTTAAGTTGTTTTTCTTGTGTTGTTATTTTTTTCGAACTGATTGAGAAAGTAAACAAAATACTTTATATGGAAATAATTCGAAATATTGTTTATATTTCCATATGGTGGAAACATTGAGATTATTTAACGGTACTCATACATTTCATATCAAGCACTTTTCTGATAATTTTACTAACCCTACTTCTACATACAACCTATATCTCGACAATTATTAATAAATATATTATTTATTAGCCAGTTTTTATCCATTTTATATTGAGATTATCGGTAGTGACATTAAAAATTATTTTCCCTATTTAAGTATATTATGTAAACTAATGCAATATTTTAAAAATTACTGGCAAATTGTGAACTCTAAATTGTGCCTATTAAACTCTATAGCGACCAATATTCATTAATACGTCTTATTAAAAAAAACATTAAAAAAATCTAATAATAAAATTAAAAAGTAATGCTGAAATTTCGAATCTGTTTTTTTTATAAATTCAATTTATCCCTGAATGCCATTTTAAGAGATAATTATAAGAAATTATTAACTGTGGGCTTCTGAGACCAAAATCCCATTATAAACATATTGTTATCTCTATTTTGTCACAGATACTGACAGGGATAGTGATGTTTTATACAGAGATTTTGATTCTCAGATTCTCAGAAAGCAACTTATAAATATTATTCATATTTTTGTCTTAGAAATGAAATAATATGGTAGTAATCGTGATTTATAATTTTCTAATGTTTATATGGATGCAATTATTTAGCTAAAAAAATTCCTATTGTATGTCACATACAATAAAATGACATTTAAAATATATATTGAATCAATTCCATCTTTCACTTACTATATTTTTATTTATCTACTGATATAAAAGTAGTACATGTGATTTTAAAATCTTGTGCAATAATAATATGTGCGAAAACTATTTCAATATTAAAATGGCTAATATTTTCATTTTAAAGTAATAATTTCGTTGTTGCAATCGCATTGTTTATAATGAAATTAAAAATATTTTAATTAAAATCAATTATTCTAATCTAAAATAACACATTGCTATGATTATAAGAAAAATGTTCGAAATTTAAATTATACATAACTGGCATTTAAGAAAAAAAATGGCAGCATCTTTTTAAAAAGTAAGGCAGTTTACAAATATAGTATTTTTAATTTTAAAAAATAAACATTATCGTGGAGTTATGAAATAATTCTATGTTTACTTGATTCAGCATCTATAGTAGATGTCGTCTATTTTGCTTAGTGTTAGAAGGTGCAACAAGTAACTGTGACGTCATAGTTCAGGTATTATGTTACAGTACACGCTAAGTAGACGCAAAAAGTGTCACTATGTACTTTTAAAAAATAGGTACAATATGGAATGATATAAAAAGGTATCTATAAAAATAGGTTCTTATTTGAAATTGGAATGGATTAAAATCAAAATATATGAAAATTTTTAACATTAAATTTCCAAAAACATAATTTAACAAAGTTGATATACGAAATGATATTGAAAATCTATCACATTGTAAAACGTATCGAATAATAATAATCGCAACATACGAGTGCCGCCCAACTTTTTCACCTCGCAAGAGACAAAGGAAAATATGGAGAACTGATCGCCAACCTCCGCTAGTCGGAGAGGCACCTCAAGAAGAAGAATAATAATTAATGTATCAATAGTTCAAGGTCGTGTAAAAGCAAATGTTGCATGAACATTACGAGTATGATATTAAAATAGACGAGAAAAAAAAATCTGAAAAAATTATCTTCGGTAAAAAATGCTTACAAGTGCGTATTTTTAAAATAGTGTGCAAAATGTTTCTTCCAATATACACCTTACAAAAAGAAATGAAAAATTTACTACAAAATAGTCTTGAATAGAAAAATATAGGAATTATAAATCTAATTAAGGAACAGCGTAGACAGGGTGGTTCTAGTAGGATTTTTTTTTCATATATATACATATGTATCGTTATATACTTATCATTTTGGTATATAAAGGTGGTAAGTTAATAGCTCAAGAATACCTATGAATAACTGGACTTCGTGGATCATTTTAATTTGTACACTTTCCTAAAAATACATATAGGAAAGAAAAAACATCGATAACTTTAAGATATTTGTATACTAAATACATAAAACATAATATATTATTTATATAATAAATACTGCAACTAAATCACTACTTAATTTTAACTTAAAAAATACTTCGGCTAACTTACCACCTCCCATTGGGTATAAAACATAGTGAAATATCAGCAAGGCTTCTGCTATTATAAGATTCAAACTTTATGACCGCTCGCGAACAAACATATCTGCTCATTGCGAGTGGAGAAAAGCATATGTTTGTGTGTGTTCCAAAGTACCAAACCGTGAAACTATATACTGGGGTCTAGCACGAATATTTACGACATATGCCATCGACAAAATATGCCAAAATTTGTATGAGATTCGTCGGCGTACTTTACTGCCGGTAGGGCACTGAACAAATTTTATGACGATATAAAAATATTCTCACAAATATGTTGTCTTAGTTTTTCCAAAAAAACTGAAAATGATAAAATATGTAATACCAATGACACGGCAGTTGAAACCCAATGTAAAGTACGTAACATCTCGAGCGGACATAAAGTTTGTATGGCACTATACATCAACATACACACAGCATAAATATATAACCCATAGATGAAGTGTTTCATCAAAGTTTGACGTCTAATCAATTTTCCAAACAACAATAGTGTGCTTGACGGGAATTTACCCCCATGAACCGTGACTGCCCTTTTTACCCCCCCCCCCCCCTGGCGAGTCCCATGGGTTACATTTCTATGGTTTATAAATACAGGTACATAGTTTGTGTATATTCTATCGTCTTGTAGCATCGTACTGCTTGACGAGGTCAGGTATGGCGTTGGGCTCCACAGGCACCCGCTCCATCAGCTCACTCAGGTTGCGCACGTAACTTAACTTGCGGAAGAACTTTGAACTGGAAATTACATTCAATTAATTAATTAAATGACCTCAGTGGTCTCCATTAGTAATCGTTTAACGATACTAAATGGAAGAGTAAGTTAAAATATTTAATATCAAATAATATACGTTTTAAATAAGAATATGCATAAATCCGCGCCATATTGTGACGTCATAGCTTTCATTGTTTTTGGAAAATGTTGATAATAATATTCAATACATTTTTGTACATGTGTTTTGGGCATTCAAAACCAAATGAATATGGCCAAACCAAAAATATAAAAATCCTGGTCTTGGGTAACTTCAATGTGCTTCTTTGCTACATCCCATCTCTTATATAGCCAAAGAAATTAGTTCCATATTCCTAAGTCCTCGTCATATTTTTATTATTCCTTGTCTGGATATAATATATAATTTGTTAGCTCACCTGACAAATGGTTTTGTTATAACTACGAATGACTTCAGCCAGAATGTGGGATGCACCAGGTACAAATGTTTCAGACTTTTTCTTAATCTGAAAATTTAATGGACATGCAATTATTAATTTAGTGCCTAATTCAATCTATACCAATTAGGATATATAGAATACGTAAAACTTAGATTAGACCTAGACAAAGATCCCAACTAGTAATTTTAGTATAGTCTAAATATTTTGTTTTAGTTGTTGCCTGTTGACCATTTTATTGTGATTCCTAGACGAAATGCCTCGACCCTATTTTGAAGAATGAGGTTTATTTCTATTCGTATTCTTCCCCAGAGTATCATAGAGTTACAATAGGATTTCTTTTTTATTTAAATAATTTACCTTCTATCAATAAGTTTATAACACTCGTGTAACCAAGCGAAGGTAGGCAGACGTCTCCGTCCCGCACTTCCATGTAAGTATACCAATACATACTCGTCCGTCACTAATCGTTCTAAGCTCCATATCACGTAGCTGAAATTAAAATGCGATTAATATTAATATAAGTTTTCACTGACAAAATACTTGTATGAAAATACAGTCGAACATGGATAAGCGAGAGACCAAGACACAGCTATATTTTTCTCGTTTATTGAGGTTTCAATCTAACACGAGTTTCCTTCTTATGGAGGTCGATAATCGGGATCGGATATTGACTTTCGCTTATAGAGGTTTCTCGCTCATCCAGGTTTGACTGTATATTGCTTATTAGTAATATCTAAGATTAGCTTACGATACAAAGGTTGGCAATTTTTTTAAGCTAAAATGTAATTGAGGCAATGCCTAACCTCTTGTGTGTGAAGCGCCCCAATTTGGGATGCTCGAATTTTTTTCTTGTCTGTGGGCGTCCTGTTTCGGGACGATGACACACTGCGTTGAGAGTGTTTAGTTTTGCGTGTATTTTGCGGTGTATATAGTGTTTACTATTTTGCACTTAGTGAAATCGGAACCGTAAGTAATATTTAATCGTCCTATTCTAGGACTCTCCACAGACAGGCGTTAACATACGAAAGGCTAAGTTATGTTTAATTCCAAATTCTTTGTCTATTGCAAAATTTGAAAGAAAATTTGATTGTTCCTTTGTATTGTATAGACTCCGAAACTACTGAACTGATTTGAAAGCTACACTGTCCCAGGGTGACATAGACTTTATTACTATTTTTTTTTAATATCATGCAGATGAAGTCGCGGGCAACTGCTAGTTATATATAAACATTGTATGTACTTACAGGAACAAATTATCCATTACATAGCGGTAGTCAGTGCGCGCTGTGTCAGGCAGATGACATGCGCTGAACACGATGATGGCCGCGCCACTCGCCTCGTATCCGCCGTGAGATAACACACGCTTGTATGGCTCTATCACCTATAAAACAATAATATAAATAAGAAACTCAATACTTCTGGAGAAATGGACAAAGACAAAAAAAATATGAATTAAAATATGGACACCCTACATAGGCCTACATACATACCTACATAGGGACAAGGGCTAGTTGACCGGGACTTAATACTTGTAAAGAAACAATTTAACTTTAATACTGATTCGTCCACAGAATTAACTGAAGGTTCCGCCCAGCTGGAGTTTAATTTATATACATCCCTGCTTGTATATAATTAAAATATAACATGCATCCATAATCATTTAATTAGCAAATTGCCTGCAGCATTTAGATATTTCAGTTAAATCCGGTGACTGCTTGCTTTGCCACCAACTATTAAAAAAAATGACCTTCATATCACAGGTGGAGTTCCGTCCGCCATGCTGCACAGTCAGCCAGGAGCGCTCGTCCTGCAGCTCCTCGGCCGCGGAGTACTCTGGGATCGGGTCACTGCATTCACTCACCGTGTTCGTTGACTTCGATCTGCTATAAAAAATATACTAATAATAGCCTAGGCACTAATAGGCCACACTAGGCCAGCGTGGTTGACTATGGACCTATATATCACCCTAACTACTATCATCCCTGGCTTAAGGTAGGCTCCGAGCACTTTGGTAGGGACGTACAGTGAGCTGATGATCACCTATATATATCATATAAATAGCGTATATCATCTAGGGATAGTATAGTTTTACTTCGCTATTTCAGAGATTTCAGGTGGCCGCTCGCTCGTTTGTCAGCAGCCAGCCAGCCCAACTCTCCGAAGAATCCTAACAATCCTTTGATGTTGTCAGTGATTACTGGGAGCATTCTCGGTAATTCGAGAATAGAACAGAAGTTTATACTGAGGTGGATATCAAACAGTAAAAAAAAGTAGAAATTAGTGACTGTTGCATGTCTACCTTTTAGCATCATCAACCTCACTGTCCAGTTGCACTTGGTCTACAGCAACAGGTTCAGGCTCCGGTGGTTCATCTTCCGACTCCAATGAACATGCACTGACACTATCTGAACTAAGTCTGTCATCATCTGGTGGCTGGAAAATACAAATATGATTTGTGAATACATCATTTACTTGGTACACATACAAACAGAAGATGGCTTAACATAAATGGGTTAAAATATTTATGGTGACTAAATTTGATGATCCTGGCTGCATAGCATATTAATGCTTATGTAAAAAATATATATGGTTAATTTTTATTGTTCATTGTTATTACCACATAAGCTGTCACCCGCGACTCCGTCCGCGCGGAATAAAAAAAAACATAATTAGTAGCCTGTGTGTCCTTCCAGACTGTTCTATATATATGCCAAATTTTATTGAGATCCACTTAGCCGTTCTAGAGAAACCTTCAAACAAACATCCATCCATCTAAACATTCGCAATTATAATCACTTATTAATTTATTAACCTTATTTTTAATATATTACATTTCATACATAAAATAAAAAATTATACAAAATATATTATAATAAAAATAGGAAACTAAGAAGTAAGATTATAAACTATTTTGAAATATATTTATAGTTGTTATTCTGTAAGGAAGCTATATTGATGTTAATAAATATAATAAAAAACACATGAATTATTGTCAGACCCTTCAATATAGTTCTATTAGATTTATATGGTAAATGAAATAAAATTATACTACATTATCAGAGATGAGAGTATTAAAATATCTACATACCACAAAAATCTTTCTCCGCATTGGTCTAGAATTGGATTTTGTATCAGTTCTTTGACGAAGTGCTACACAGCCAGTGTAGGGGTCAAGCAATGCCTGGTACGCAGACTTGTCTTCTTGGGTTGATGATGATATTACATCAGGGGAATCCAAGTCCTGGAATAATATTATTTTAATTATCTTTTGTGTGTACATTATTCTACTATACCAGAATTGCTATATAATCCAAATAAAATTAGTGACAATTCTAAATATTATATATAGGTTGGTATGTGGACAAAGTCAGGACAGGTTCCTAGTTCATGATTAATGAAAAATCATTGAACAAACAAAAAACATATCTGACAGAGGTATAGAAGAAACCTCTTAATGTAGCACTTTATCACAAGAGATAATCTTACACTTACATTTTGTATGCCAATAGTACTTGACATCTCAATTGGCAATTCAAAATTTGGTATAGAACGTAACATAGATGGAGATTCACACCAATCTGCCACCTGAAATATAAAAAAATGTATGTCATAATACCACAAATTGCTGTTATTTTAGGCATAGATATGAAACATAATGACATCCACACATCTATCTATCCAAACTTTTGCATTTATAATTAGTATGAATTGTGACAAAATTTTATCAATCTTCTTACATTATTAAAGTTTCCAAATAACATATCATTGATTCCACAACATACAAGAAAAATAAGCTATCTCATAAATAGTATATCTAGCTATATTTTGTATCCTTACCCATATAGCTATAAAGCTTTTATTCACAAAACACTATTACTTAATTAGATATGAGTCTCACCGATTTTTATCTCATTAACATTTATCCTTGTTAATATTCAAACATGTATGAAATAAAAACTTGTTTATTATTGATAATAATATCCTCTTTCGACCTACACATTTCCCTGTATCATGTTTAGGTAGCCACTGATTGGTAAACAAGTAAAATAAAATGTTTAAAACCTTAATGTTTTTTTTATGGTAGAGGCCATCATTGTAGTGTGTAAAATTAAAATAAAGCGACAAACAATAAACAACCAGAACATACCGCTGAAAACTCCTCCGGTTGAGTTATATTTACAGGTTCACTATTACACTTTGGTGTACTTTGACTAGATATTATTTTATTCCTTTCTTTAATATATTTAATTATGGCACTATCATTTTCTCCATCTGGCACTTTTTGATTACTTTTAGGTGTCAACATATTGTGAGGTGTCCCATTTTTTGAAACTTTCAGTCTCTCTATCTTATTCAGATCTTCAATTCTGGCAACATCTGGTTGCAGATTTAAAGACTCACTAAGAAGTTTATTGTCAGTCGGAACAAAGTTTTCTGAGTAGAAAAGATTATTTTTTGATGTATTCATTTGTAGGCTATAGAATTCATATCCATTCGTCTGATTTTGGATCCTTTCATCTTCAACGCTCGATAAACTTAAATCTTTTTCATCACCAAGTTTATTAGCAGTCTTTGGTATTAAGTCTGGAAAGTTTTCTTCTGGACTTCCCAATGTCATGAGTGGATGGTTCGTTGTGAGAGTAAGTTTACTATTTAATCTAGGTGGACTTATACCAAGATGTTTAGGCCTTGGACTCTCTGATGGTGTACTAAAAGTAAGCTTAGACATTTTCAACACTAACCGTAAACACAACTTTTATATTATTAAAATATCAACAACCTTCCTTCTATCATAACACTATTAAAGAAACTTGTTAAATATACGATAACTACTCTAAACATTTGACGAAAACAGGCATATATCAGAGTTTGAAACAAAAATAATTAGGTATGTTTTTAAACTAGGAAAACATTAGGCGCGACATTTTTAAAAATAAGGTAGAAGTAAATTAAACCGAACTTGCACTTGAAACTGACTAAATAACTTATCATTTAAAGGGTGATTCGTTAAAATAATATTCGTATACACATAACGTACAGTGGCAAGTATACGACAGCGGCATTTGATTTTGATATGATTGACGTAACGCAATCGCTCGCCATTGTATTACAGCTGCGTTCTGTTCACACGATTTTGCTTATGAAAGTACGATTTTTGCTTTTTAGTTAGATGAGTTTATTATATTACCCTTGATACATTGTTGGGCTTTTAAAATAGTTAAAATGACAAAAAATATGTTTCATGGGATTGTAAAATCTAAATCTTCATTTAAAATAAAAAGAAGGTGTGCTTAGTTAATTTATAACATCAAACAGGCAGGCAGACTAACAGTAAACTGTGAACTGCATTAGTTCATTCATAATATTACGGGTTTCTTTATATTATGTACAAAAGAAACATAGGTAACAAATAACAACCGAAAAAGTCGAGGTGTATAGGCATTAATGTAGAGATTCTTAACTGCACAAACAAAACGCAATTGAAAACTGTCTTTTCCTCTCAATGTCTGTTTCTCAAAATATCGTCCCGGAATGTTGCTGTTTTAAAACGGAGCAAACTTTGCTTTTTTTCGCCTACCGAGGGTAAAGTACCATATGTCCTACAACAAGACCATAAATGTGACTACCGTAACCCAATGACTATATACCCTACAAACTATAGGTCGATAAATAGTAGATAGTGATAGAAAGTGATGAATACTTTGATTAAAGGTGAAATGATCCCTCATAACGATTGGAGGTGATGAATAGTTTGCGTAAGAGATGAAATTAATGCGTCATGACGATTTCAGAAGTGAAAAATAAATTCTAAGAAAGCTACAGAAAAAAATGTAATAAAAAGCTGATGATGATCATTCAGTATCGAGAAATGTATAATTTATGTGGATAGTTAACATTAAATAAACACCAATAAAATTGTTGTACATGGGTTTTCAAGTATTTGTATTTCGCGGTACTATGTTCCGAGTTCCATCATGTAGTCTTTTAATACCATTTTAATTTTGCACAGTAATCGGCCTCTTCAGCATCGGCAAATTTCTCTACAGCAGAGATTTGCAAATATATTTTCTCATATAACGTTTTCAAAATTATGCTGGTTACTGTAAACCTTTTGCTTCTACATTTCTTCTTCTACTTTTGAGCCCTCGGTGTACAACATGATGTAAGTTGGTTGAAAATAAAATTGTGGGCCTAAGTGAATCAATGTGGATCCACACTTTACGCCAAAGGACACCGGCTACCATTTACTATATTATGATGATATTCATGCATTCAAACTTTATGGTGGCTCTTAAACATGCAGGAGCCGTTGCGCAGAACATAATTTTAAATATCAGTAATTGGCCTACCTGACACAATCTAATGAAGTTTGGCCATAAAGTTTGAATCTTGGAAGTCAAACCTAGACACATTTTTTTTTTTAATAAAACATGGAATTGTTTATAAAGGTGACGACACATTCGAGACAATTGTCAATTCCAACCCCCATACGGAACTAGCGAATTCCGTTGTACATCTAATTAAAATCTTTTGTACATGCAAGGAGGTTGCTTAATTAACTTACCTAAATCGCAGTAGTGTAAATAGTTAAAATTACTAATCCTTCACTGAACTAAAAAGAAAAACAAGTAGATTGAATTGTAACTTTTTTTCAACCGATTGAAACATGTTACGTAAAACTTAACAATCGACCTTACGACTGCATACAGCCGCATTTCTTGGAATATACATTTTGATTTCAAAACAATTCGCCATTGGTCACTTGTTGGTTTATTCCTTTATTATCAGCCTCTGCGATCAAACGGTAGGATTTAATTATTTTAAAAAAAGTTATCGGATAAAATAGGTATGTTTTTAAATTAATTATTATGTTTATTTATAAAGTAATATGTGTATGCATTGCTTAACAAACCTAATTAATCTAGTTTTAACCTTGAAATTAATTGATAGTCAACTTGTAATACAAAATTAGATTTGAAACATAAAACATAGCTTACTGTTTTACCTATAACACTTCATTTGTTTAGATCTACTCAGGAAGCGCGAAAAAGATTCACATAACAATTCAGTTTCTTTTTACAACTTCTGGTGTCGGTTTTCTTATGTTTTCTAAATAATGTCTGCCTTAAAATAGTATTTTAGGCCGCGGAAGAGCGTTATAATTCAGTTGGTGTTTGATTTTTCGAACGGACATCAACGTCTTCAATCTAATATATATTTTTTATTCTAGGTTTTATTCTTTTTTTAAAAATGCAATTTTTTGCATTAATATACTTAACGTATTTAATAGTACCAGGCATACACACCGAAGATGTCAGTTGTAAGTATAAAAATATATTTTATTTTATATTTATTTAAGTTTTCTTGTACTTTTCTTTATAATTGTATAATTATTTTCGCCCGACTGACCTATGTATATCTGGTACGTACATACCCATGTTAGTACAAATACATTTATGTCCATTTTAATATGTATTTTTATTAAAAGTAATGGCTATTTTTTTAATTCTTATGCATTTGTGGTTCTTGTTGCTTTCTTGGTTGTATAATTGTACATAATCAGTCGGTCGTTTTTTTTTTAATAATTGCTATTTTTTCGTTAGTTAATCGCCAGTATTTTAACAGATCAAGCATGCGTGGATAAATATTCTAGAAAAGGTTATCAGCCCTGGCAGGAATGGTCCGATCATTACACATGCCATAGATACAGATGTGAAATAAGAGACGGGAAATATTTCATTGCAGCTGTTGGGTAATGTTCTTTTAATTATTCATTGTTATAACCAGTGTAAGTAGAATTATTGTTCCTATTTCGAAAAAAAAAATTGATAAACAATATTATATTTAATAGATCGATTTCATGTATCCGGTTAAGATTTTATTTAATAAAAAAAAAGTTTATTTTCGAAATTCAAAATAGTAAGTTAATATCTTATTTTCGAAAATTTTATAAAACGTTTCTGTTTTAAAGCCGATTGTTCTCAAACTTTAAAATTATTTGAACTTGATATAAAGATAAAGCATAAATAGTATTTTGTATTCTCTTATTTTTTAAAATAACTTTAACTCTATACGATATTTAAATAATTAATTTGTGAAATTTTAGGTGCCGAAAACCAAAAATTCCAGAAAATGCATTAGAATGTCATGAGTACATTGAAGATGAAAACGTTGGTATGTGACATATTTTTTCCATTATTATATCCATTTCGCTATAAACTTTTGTAAAATATCATAATAGAAAAATTATCTTATAATTCATTCTTTGGATCGCTAAGGGCGCCCTAAACGAAAATTTATATAATGTACTGTCTAAAGCCCCTTTTCCACTAATCGAGTAGTCGCGCTACTCTGTCTGTTTTTTCATTAATTGCTATAGAGAAGACATGACTTTACTACACTTGAACCTGGATAAGCGAGAGTCTTTGTACGGTCCCGACAGGCGATCTCCTCAAGGAACTCGGGTTAGAGAGAAACCTCCATAAGCGAGATAAATATTGCGGTCCTCTGGATTCTAGCTTATCTAGGTTATGACGCGTAGATAGTTTTATTATAGGATGGTTAAATTTTCAGAATTCCCAACGTGTTGCGCGAGATTGAGATGTGTTGTTGAAGTGAACGGTGAGAGAATAGTGCAGACCAGAGGACAGCCAGGGGAACTGTTCCCTGACAAGTGAGTGCGACAAAACATGGCATTTGTGGGTTTAGAAGCCAATCCTTAGTTACACCAATCCTTAGAGACATGTGACAAAGATAAATATCAAGTTTCACATTCAAAATCTTCGAAATTCGACTCGAGAGTCTACAATAATACTTTACACAAATACATTTTTGTTCCAACGATACAAAAATATCTGCCAACTAGATTAGTGTTACTTTAATGTGGATGCGGACTTATGTTACAAATTCATATAAAGTTATGTTTTACACATTAAGTACTTAAAATTAAATACATACATACAATCAATAAAACTGCATTATTACTTACCCATTATCACGTAACTGCGAAATTCTAATCAATGTGCGATCGTGTCAACATTTCACTGACGACCGAGTGAGTGAGAAAGCTGTGTACAAGCGTTGGTGCAAATGAGACGGTTGTATATACGCGAGCCACACGGTTAGCCACTTACAAGTCACAGTCCAACAAGGGTCTATTTTTGGTGGTATATTATCTATTTTAGCTTGTTATATAATATATTATGGCTTTGTATATATTTTGATTATAATAAGTTATTGTTTCAATAGTGACCCTTTGTTTTAACTTTCTATCTATAACTTGTAGCTATCTATAACTTTAGAAAATGTGCAAATATTTAAAATTTGCAGACCATGGAAGGGCCAGCAGAACGAGCCCAATCCAGCGGTAGTTGGCATGGGCAGTATTCAACAGAACACGGTTGGCGGTGAGGCGCAGACGCAGTCCGCACCGGGGATATTCAACAGCAGAGGCGCAGGCAAGCAAAGTACGGTGTTATTGACCATTGAGTGGATCGATTATTTAAAAAATCAAAATAAAAAAAAACAATAATTTATCGATTCAATTCAATGGGTAATAATATCTTAATTTTATATATGTATGTTTATTTGGTGGCTTAATTTATTATATCAAAACAATTATTTCTCTATATTTGAGCAAAATTATTCTATTACAGAGCACAAAAGTTTGACAAGCACTTGTGAAGCTTTCATAATAATATTGTCATATAATCTGTGTAGAACTGCTTATTATTTTTATTTATGTCATATCGAGAAATAGTTTAACATTGATATTTTATTAATTTAGCCAACGATATTCCCGACAGCGGATGGCAACGATATTAACGGACGTCGCTTCGTGGACCCCTACCCCAGTCAGCAGATGCAAGAAAATCCACGAAGGAAGAGGTCAACGGTGTACCCGATATTCGATAAAAACATGGTACGAGAATCAAACGCGTACCAACCGCATCAAGTTAAATTACACGGGTATTCCGCAGAGAAATACACATCGTATTTCACGAATAATATAAAAAGTCTATCTAACTCGAAACATCTTTTCAATCAAAATTAATATGTTTTCTTTAATATTGGCCTGTGCGAGACGATATCAAAGAATAATTTCGACTATATAATATGTACGACTAACCTGGACATATCGGATTGTAATGTCTCTTGTATCATTGTTATTGCTTAATGAACTTTGTTACTTTTGATAAAAACTAATTAATATAATTTGTTTGTTCTAGAATTTTGTATTTTTTATTTAACTAACTGATAACTCCGATATCCTATAAAGCATTTTATGAAGACTGTACAAGTAGAACCCGTAAGGGTCGCAACACACAGGCCGCACAAGCGAACAGCCGCGATTTGTATCGGCCACCGGCGTCAACCGTATGCTGCCGAATCCATATAATACGTATGCAAATGTTAGGAAATATGCCGTTGGCGGCATATTGTGGTTGTCGCTTGTGTCCTATGTACGATATTTTTTCGAATGTTTAGCCAGTAAAAACCCATGTTTACGTAAATTGCTATTTGAGAGCACAAAAAGTAAACGACTATTGAAGTTACACGAGTTGAGGCATCCTTGAGAATTGTTATTCTTAAAAAGAAGTTAAGCTAAGTAGCTGGTCTGTGCAACCCAACTCGGCGTGCTGCAGATGTCACTTAAAGTCAAAAAATACATTTTGAAAAAAAAATCCGACCAGAACTAACAATAGTGACTATAAGAGAAACGTTTACGTACGCTTAAAACATAATTTACTTTAATTTTCCCTTTATAAAATGCACCTGTAAAAATACTGCGTATAAGTAAAAACAATACTATAAAATTCATAAACATACAAAGAATCTGCACGCAGCTGATATAATGTTATTGTTTTGACTATACGTAAGTCGACTATTTCTCGTCGTTCTTTGTGGATTATTTTAAAAATATGAGATGTTACACATATCATTACTGGATAATATTTTAACGAAAATGAAGGCAACATTGTCTAATTTAAATATAATTGCACATTTGCAATTAACTGTCTAATTATTTTCTGACTAACTCTGAGAACTAGTTAGACAACATGGTATGAGTATGAGATAGGACGTAGATTGCAGGCTTACAAATGTGCAGGTATACACTTACCTATATAGTATTTTATCCATGCACGAGTCCATTGGATGAAGGAGCAATCTTTGATTCATTGATTGTTGACTGAGACTTGTAATACTTGTATAACATGCTGTTGTTTAGAATGTAATAATGAATTATAATTTAATATGGATAAGATTAACCGATTTTATTCTTCCATATTTTCTAATTGTTTTGAACTTCACGTAATAGATGGCGCTGGAAATATATTATTGGTGACTTTTGACACATGTCAGTTTGTATAGTGTCGTGTGCGTTCAAATTTCTGAAAAGAAGATGTAGAATTTACTTTTAGAAGAGATAAAATTATCGTTTCATTAAAAAACCTTCGTAATTTAAAGGAAATATATTATTTACAATAAATTTAACTTTTTATCGGGATACAACGTGTGAAATTAATAATTAATATTTAATTTCAACTCTTAAAGTTTCGAATGTACCTGAAATATAGCAACGAACTTCGGCTTCGGCCATTGTAGTCAAAGAAAATTCTGAATTTTATTAAGCCGTCCGCTTTCGTGTCACGTAGTGTCGGTGTCTTTTCATTTTTAGAGCCAGTGTATCAAAAATCTACACTGTGGCTAAAGTGACACCATATCCGAGTATGTCTTATTCCGGAAGGAATAAATTTGAGGTAAGTCTAATTGATTTTCTGATTTGTTTGTTTTCGTTTTGATTAAAACAGCTGACATCGAAGTGCGCTACAAGAACGAAGGGCCTAGCGCTTGCGAGAACAAAGAAGTCTCAATTTGAAAGAATAATTATTACATATACTACAAATTTATTGCTATTAGAATAGAATTTTAGAAAAATAATCAAAGAACATGAGTATAGTAAATATTAGTACTAATCTATTTTTAAAGTTTTGCTTATGTTTAATCTTTCCCGGTATCCAAAGTACAGCGCATTATGTTTACAACGTTTTGATAGGATTTATTTGAAACATTTTTAGGTGTATTATGATTAAGAACGTGTTATTTCTTTGTTACTTAGTGTATTGACCTCAGTTTAAACGTGCAGTCAACTCGCGTTAATGTCTAATACCGTTACGTAGAGGATCTGAAAATTTTAATGGGCACCACTAACAATCTTTTTGTTAAATTTAATTAACTTGCATTTCTTACATATAACAGAAACAGTTATTTCACTACTTGTTTGATATCATTGAAATGGTTAAGATTAAAAAAATGGTTTGTTTGTTATCTGTATTTTCCATAAACACTTCACAAAATTAATTTATAATTACCATGTAAAAAGTTTAATTTGTAGCAAATTATTTGATAATTCATCATGTTTGCCGTAGTTCATTAAAGTTTTAGAATGTCATATTTCAGTGTAATAATCATTAAAGTTGATGATCAGTTCATTCTTAATTAGTTGAATAGGCAACAGATTCCAGTTAATTACCACACTGGCCTAGTATTGTGGACTATGCTCACGTGATGTGAAAGAGTTAATGTCAGATATCTAGTGAATTCTTTTTTACAGATAGCTAGATTTTCTGGTGAAGATGACAATCATATCAACAGAAAACTGCCAAAAGAGTTGCTGCTCAGGATACTATCCTACCTGGACGTAGTCTCTCTCTGCCGCTGCGCTCAGGTAACTTTGGATAACATTAAATTTTATCTTAGCAATATTATAAATGTGAATGTTTAGATGGATGGATGTATGTTTGTTTGAAGGTATCTCTGGAATGGCTGCATGGATCTTGCTGAATTTTGGCATAGAATTAGAACATATTCTGGAAGAACACAAAAGTATGTTATTAATTCTGCGAGGACAGTGTTGTGGGCGACATCTAGTCACTAATAAAATCACAATAAAGTTGTTATCTTTTCTTATCAGTAATTAAAATGATAATTAACTTTACTATAAACTTTTGTTTTGTATTTATTTCTGTCTTCCATAAAGTATTATTGTTCACTCCTATTGTTTTTATATTTATTTGAATAGACAATCTCAGAGACATATTTGTGTTCAGGTTGTTAATGTAATTATTGTCTACTACAGGTATCAAAATTATGGAACATTCTTGCTTTAGACGGTTCCAACTGGCAGAGGATAGATTTATTTGACTTCCAGAGAGATGTAGAGGTAAACTATCACACCTAATATATTTGTGCATGTTTTATTAATACTAAACTTTTTTAATGTCATAATTTTTAATAGTTCCTTAAAATTTTACTAATCCCAGTTTTAATGAAAGATATCACTTAAGCTACTTACTCACAGTTGTAAGTGGTGAAATTGTTAGTTTGGTTTGGAAAGGTTCTCACCATAGCATAGATATTTTATTTGTTTAGTAATTTCTACATTCTGAGAGCTTTTTTGCCCTACTTCCCTTTCAATGGGTGGGCCACTTAACAATGGAGTGTGATAGTTGTTACTTTAGAATGTATTGTTTTAGGGTCCAGTGATTGAAAACATATCACGAAGATGTGGCGGCTTTCTCCGGCAGCTATCATTACGAGGATGCGAAAGTATTGCGGACGGCTCTATGAAGACACTAGCACAGGTATGTTTGTAATGTATAATAAATGACAATACTATGCATTGTATTATTTACTTGAGGGACAGTTGCATTATAAATGTACATTTATTATATAGAAATCATGAATTTATAGATTATTTTTATTTAAATGATTTAAATTTAATGATGTCTGTAAGTCATGACTTTCGAACTAAGTAAGCATCCAGCGGGTACACTTAAACTCTGGTATTCTTACTGCTAATAAGAAACAAATAATCTTTTTTTTATTTTTTACAAATGCATAATATTTTTTTATACATGATTTTATGAATATCACGATTGTAAAAACACAGTATATAGGATGTTTATTTTGCAGTCCTGTCCAAATATTGAAGACTTAAATCTGAACAAATGCAAAAAGTTGACAGATCAGACTTGTCAAGCCTTGGGCAGAAGGTGTAGTAAATTACAAAGGTATGTATGATTAAAATTAACATATGTAAATAAAAAATATTAACATTTTTTTCTTTTGGAAGTATAGGGTATTCGTAATTCTGGCACTTTACAATATTTTTTTCTTATATAATGTAATTTTGAAGACAATATTTTAAACTTTAAATTTTCCTTACAGAATCAACCTTGATTCCTGTCCAAGTATAACAGATATATCTTTAAAAGCACTTTCAGATGGTTGTCCTGTAAGTTGATAAATATAAATAATATATAACATTTATATATCTAACAGTCTTATGCAATATTACTAGAATAATATTTAATAATCAACACATAATAGACCTGTTTTAAAACTTTAGTAAAAATGTATCGAAAGGTAAACATAGCCAAAACATTTACTGGAAGCAACTTGAGCAATTTAAAAACTTAAAACTTGTAATTTATTTTTTCATTTAATTAATTCCAGAAATATTCACTTTACCCAGCAGTTTTCAGTATGTATGTAATTTCTTGCAGCTGTTGACCCATGTGAATGTATCATGGTGTCAATCTATAACAGACAATGGTGTGGAAGCTCTGGCCCGGGGCTGTCCCAAATTAAAGAGCTTCATTTGTAGAGGTAACTTATTTAAAAAAGATTTCTTTTTCCATGAACAGTCAAAAAGATAAATAAAAGATTTTTTGAACTTGTATTTTTAACAATAAGTTCTCTTACACTATAAGTATAGTTCATTTCAAATATTTTGGCAGTCAAAGGCCATCAGCGCGTTTCTCTATGTTCCCCCCCCCCCATCCGGTAACGTCCCAACACACGTAAAACTGTCTGTTAAGATCTGTTAAGATATTTGGAAACAATTATATATGTTATATCTTTTTCCAGGCTGCAAAAATGTGAATGACAAAGCTGTGTCGAGTCTGGCTACTCATTGTCCTGATTTAGAAGCTCTCAATGTACAGGGCTGCGATGTAAGTCATTTTTCCTTAATTTTTACTTCCAGTATAATTTGTAGTAAAATGTGATAAGGTAGAAAGTGGACATTAACTTCGAACCAACGTGACATATCGAAAGTTTTTGTCAGTTCTATACATTTTTGAACTTATGAAATCGCTTCGAAATGAATGAGCTGGCTAGCACAGGTGACCTATTTTAATGTGTTTTTTTTATTGTGTAGAATTTAACTGACGAGTCGATATGCAAGCTTGGAGGTGCGATGCGCCGGCTGTGCGTGTCGGGGTGCTCGCGGCTGACAGACAGCGCGCTGGCAGCACTCGCCGCGCGCTGCCCCAACCTCGCCACGCTCGAGCTGGCCCAGTGCACGCAGCTCACTGACGCCGGCTTCCAGGCGCTCGCCAGGGTACGCACACATGCACACACGCACTAACACACTCTTCGTAGTGAACATTACTACGTACAGAGACACTTGCATTAATATGTGTACACACACAGGCGCATAAGTACTGACTGACAATTTTTTTTTCAAGTGTGTAGGCAGTAATGTTAATAAGTAATTTTCTTCCTCTAACAGAATTGCAGAATGCTAGAGCGTATGGATTTAGAAGAATGTGTTCTTATAACAGATACAACTTTGGTACATCTCTCAATGGGATGCCCGAGACTCGAGAAATTGGTAAGTGTGTAATTGTTCTAAGATCATTAAGATTCAATGTCTGCCAATTGTCTATGATTCTACTGTACATAATCATAGTCAAATAATTAACATATTATATTATATATATATATACTCTTAATATTATAAAGAAGGAAGATTTCTTTGTTTGTTTGAATTTAATTGGGTCCAAAACTACTGAACCGATTGGAATCATTTTTTACTGTAGGGAATCTACACTATCCACAGGTGTAATTTTTTTAAATCCTGTGTGGCTAAAATCTTGTTATAAACATATATCAATAAAAATTCCAGACGCTGTCCCACTGCGAGCTGATAACTGACTATGGAATCAAACAGTTGTCAATGTCACCGTGCGCGGCGGAACATCTCACTGTATTAGGTAATAATATTCTGTTTATCTTACTGATATTATAAATGCGGATGTTTGGATGGATAGATGTTGGTTTAAAGATATCTCTAGAATCATCAATTTTATATATATAATTTTAACGTAATTACAAAATATATGTTTTGCTCGTTTCATGTATGGATTATATAAGAATTACTTTTAATATTTTCAGGTTTAGACAATTGCCCCCTGGTGACAGACGGGGCGTTAGAGCATTTAACTTCGTGTCATAACTTGCAACTCATCGAACTGTACGACTGTCAGATGGTGACCAGGAATGCTATTAGGAAATTGAGGGTAAGCAAACAATATCAAAAACAATATTAAAACAACACGGACAAACTAACAAGAGGGTACAGAGGAAGGTTTTATGTGCAAACCAAAGTTTCTATATTGTGTATAATATCTTTCAAATATGTTGCCGGCTCGGAACATCACATAAGTCACTACGAAATTTTACATGTAACGTAAAAGAATGCGGGGTGAGGGCACTTTGAATCGCCAAGATATTGGAAGAATACTATGACCTGTTATAATATAATTTTGTTTGTATTCCAGAGCCACCTGCCCAATATAAAGGTGCACGCGTACTTCGCGCCAGTGACGCCCCCCGCGGCGGGTGGAGGCGCGCGTCCCCGCTACTGCCGCTGCTGCGCCATCATATGAGACCCCTCCACCCCAGCACAGACCGCATGCACTGTCAGTTTGTCATATTGCCATCGCTTTCATTCTCTTTCACAAAATAGAGACAACATCTCTGTAACTAGCAGTTACCCGCGCGAAATTAAAAAAAGAACCCTGTAACATGTAAAATTTTATCAAATTTGTTCAGTTCAGTAAACTGGAACTTTACGATAACTAAGTACATACGCACATCTTGCTAATGTTTGGACATAGTTGGAAGGATGGATGGATGTTTGTTAGAAAGTATCTCCAGAACGGCTGCATTGATCATGATTAATTTGGCATAGATATAGATCTTAGTCTGGAAAAACAATTAATTTTTTTTTATTTTGCGCGGAGGGAGTCGCAGGCAACAGCTAGTTTTTAATAAGAATAAATAAAACTATTTACAGATTTCCTTCATGATGTTCATTACAATTTGGGTGTGGTAACTTCTCACTTTATCGAGGCTGGTCACTCACTGACAAGACAACATCGAAGAATGCCCGAAAAACTTTGAACAAGTTTTTAAACTAATAACTTGACAAAAGGAAAAGGACGAAAACCATTGAAGATTGATAAATATTTGAAGAATTATTACTCATAATAAAATCTACAGAGGAATTCATACATACAATATTCTGAAACCATACAAAATTAATACGCATTACCGTAATACGCTTCAATTCTTCTCTTGGCTATAAATATCCTAATCTATATTAAAATAAGTAACTTGAAGAAAAAAATGAAAATGAGGGTAGTACAACAAAACTGGTAACATGTATGGATAATGGATCTATGTCTATTTTTCTATGAAAGGATCTTAAGAGGATGGTATGAGCTAATTTTATAAAATTAGTGATGGTATTCCAGATATCTGTTAGCTTAAATATTGGCGGATCTAGGATTCTGAGTTTGGGAGGAATAGCCTCCTTTCTAGTGCGATCAGAATTAAAAAAAACACTATTTTTCCATACTTTTAAAATCACAAAATACTTAAATTGTAGCTACGTATTTTTCAAGAACGATTTTTTTAAATCTTCTTCAGGCTTGAACCTCCTAAGCCCTACCCTGGATCCGCTAATTGTCTATTCTAAATAAAAAAAAATGTAGTGACTCTGCCACGTGGTATGTTATGTGTTCATATTATTCTCTAGGTGTAACTTATATCTAATCGTATCTAACGAACTTTAAATAAAATTTAAATAAAAAAAACACAATAATTCATAAAAATTCCGTCTCATATACAATTAAAAAAAAGTAATGAAAAAAATACGCTTCATTTATCAGAATAAGAAATAGATACTGAATTGTTTTATAAAAACATTTATTGACACCATATTTTTCTTTTAAAAAAGTTTTAACGACGTTTTGAATTTTGTTTGGCTCTTAAATTTATGACCAAGTCAAGTTAATTATTTGCTGTGATTTAAAAAATCGGTTATTAATTTTTTTTATATATAATAATGTCTTTTATTTGTTGTTTTTTATGACCGAACGGATAAAAAGTCGTAGTTTGATTAATTTATTTCTTAAATGTGAAAACATCCATAACCGTCAAATTCAAATGTCAAATGTTCGTATTTTTGAACCAATCAGATAGCTGCATCTTCGACAGTGGCGCCGCCACTAACTTTCCAGATAGTTTGGTCGTTTAGAAATAAAACATTTTACCGCACATAATTCGATAGATGTTTTTTCCTATAGGAGTAAATTAAAGTATCCCCTTTAATATGTATATTAACAAATTTACATATTGTTCAGTCAATGTTTTTTTTAATATGTCTAGTTTTCTGATTATCGTAATGTTGCCTTTATCCAAAAATAATCATCAATAGAAATAAATTCGTAGGTAAATCAAATTTACATTTGTAATAACGTTAAATATGACAATTTGACGACAATTTTTTTTCATAAAAGTAGAAAAAAAAACGCTTTATGTGTGATTTTTAATAGAATTTTCAGTCTACCCTCTTTTATTTATTGAAGTTTTTCTCAATATTTGTTAACCAGCGTGTAAAATTTGATTGTAATGTTTTTTATAGTATTGTTTAATTCATTTTAAAATTGTTTTAGTACAAATTGAAAATCGGCTTAAACAGATAAAAGCTACCGATATTATTTTATTTCTGATTGTTGAATTAAAAAAAAATAAGCCATACTTTATTGATATAGGTTTCATTTATTTTTTACACGAAACTAGAGTAATGTCATGTAATGACAAGGAGAATGATTTCGCCTGTACGTAGTAATCATTAATGTAGGTAGAATTATTTCTTTTACAAAATAATATTTTTTTACCGCTTACCTAGTATCTAACGTAGTGTGTAAGTTATTGAGGGTAGTGAATTATTATTTAGTAAAACTGAAATTGTTACATTGTATCAATATTTGTATAGAAGGTTATGGATTGCGACAAGTCCTTTATCCATTAGAAATTTGGCATATATAGTGCTATTCAAACTTTATGGCAGCTCGCAATTTTGAGACGCTATGAAAATATCATTTTAGAGAAAGGGGCGATCTTTGACGATTTTGGCGTCAACGAAATAAAATATTGATATAGCTTTTTCGACTATGACGATCTACGATCAACGATTAATTTATCCACCCTGACGCTACATCTAACCTCGAGCCGCCATAAAGTTTGACTCTTGTTATACCATCTTTTCTTTCTATCTTGAACAGTTTGTATTAGTTATCAGTTATAATTCTACGGCTTTTTACTTTAAATGTTTTTTTTTTGTAATAATTAAGGTGTTGTGTAGAAAATTCTAATGGATAAAGACTTGAAAATGGAATTGATCAAGTCTTATCAGGTATCATGATTTAATTCTAATAGTTTTTGTGTATAGTATATTAATTAAAAAATACAATTGTTTGTTTCGAACTATACGCAAGTAAATACGAAATATTTTCTCTTGTCTCTACAGGTAATAGCCGTCACACAACATTAGTTTAATTCTGTCGCATTTTTGAAAATAAACATAAAAAAAAATTCTGATTCATAATCACAGAATAGTGAAATTTCAATTAATGCTTATTGAGCAATAAATAATTTAATGATATCTATACACTGTCTTCTATACGTAGACGTATTAAAAAGTTCTTTGTTATAAACGAAAAAAAAAAAATTTTTTTTCTTTATATATTATCCCTGTCAAAGTACAATAAAGTACCCAGCAATAAAATTTATAACCTAAAATGTCTAACATGTCGTGTTTTGTTTCTTAATTTTCGTAATTTATGTACTCGTATTACTTTGGAAAATAGCGACGTATACTAAAGTTGCAAGTGAATGCGTTTATTGTATGATAGTGGATTATTTTGCAAGTACTAAAGTACATTACGTATTAAAAGAATTGTGCGTATTCATCTGTTATTCAATATCATTTTTGATGTAAATCATACATCATTAAATATACAATGGTGATAACATTATTTGTTTTAATTCTTCCTATCCTATTTGAACATTGATTGTAAATAATAACCTGAGTTCGCAGTTGAATGTCATATAGTGAGCAGCACACACAGCAGAGGCGATTTCGACAAACGAAGAAAGAATTTAGAACAAGGGAGGATGAACAGAGTAAGGTTGTTTTGACACTTTTAAATGTTAATTGAAAATTATATTCAGTTTTAGGCTATCACTGGTGCTGTTACTTCGACTAATAAATAATTTTTAACTAGAAATGCATAAATAAAACGAAAAACGAGCCTTAATTTATTGAATTGTTTTGTAAAATTTCGTTAAATAATTATTTCTTGATAGTAACAAACTACAGATTAGATATTCGTAATAATACAAATTTGCAGTACTATATTTCAAGGACTGGTCATACAGGAATTTAACACGTAAGCTTTAATTATGCTTCTAGATATATATTTTTAAGTTACTCTGTCGTCTGTGTTGTCTCATAATAATCTCATGGTTTAAATACACCATCGACAAATTCTACTCATCTCCGCATAGCGGCAGCGTGCAGCCAATAGCCGACTTGCAATGTTGCCTCTTCATTCTCTTTTAGGTTATTTTGGGGAAAATATGTATATTACGAAGTTAATATCTTAATTATGAAAAATATCTATCTAAAACCATGAAACCCTTCAGTGGAAAAAAATGTTTTCCTTTCCCATTTTTTGATTGGCAAAAAAAAAGTGTAAGTACTATTTTAAATGCCGAATACTGCGGATTTGTCCATGTTTAAAAGAAAATATTAAATTAGCCTGGAATTATTTACTTTTTTATTCGGTTAATTAAAACTGTAGTGATGGCAACACCGACAGTTTAGATCGGCTTGGCGTGCGGTTGTCGCCGAATTTCCCGCATAAAATGGAACCGAAGCATTCTAATTTCCGCGACAATTTATAGAAAAAGAGTTAGAAACAAAAATTGCGTAATCATGATTATGTTAGATTTATAACATACGGTGAATTTTTGTGGTGATTTTTTTTTCGGATAACCAATGTTGAGTTTATAGATTTATGCTGGTAAGGTTTTGAAATAAATTTATTAATTATGATATATTTACAAATATACCACCAACCAAACTTAATTATCGAATTAATTTTTCAAATAGCACATTATTTTAATACACAACAATCATACATATATTTTTGTGAGTTTACCGCACATTATTAATGATTACTGCAGTGGGGAAACTTAATGTTATTATTATGCTGTAAATTTACCCGGCATCCCTTTGACTACAAAATCAATAATGTCTGCGCATAGCATTGTTCGTAGATACGCTAGCGTATAACGCTTTATTGCCGTGGTCATTAAATGTTTATCCTATCCGTATAATTTACAACAACGTATGTTATTACAAAAATATTAAAGCTAGAAAAAATGTTATGTTATTTAGAAATTCTTAGACCGTACGCATAATAACCTCTCTCGTAATATTCGCGCCTTAAATTGGTAAATTCTCAAGTTGTTTAATTTACATATAAACAATCCGTTCATATGTAAAATAATATTCTTCGTACATAATGCTAATAACATGCTTAATATAAGACGTATTTTCATAAACACAATGTAAAAATAGATACACAGATTTGAAGCTCTCGCAATAAGTACTAAATCACTGTCATATTTTCTTTAAAATAATATTATTCTCCGTTACTAGAGATTGTGTTATATCATCGAATATCGATATTTTTATTAACATAAAATTTTATTGCAAGTATAAAAAATTATATTTATAAAAGAAATTAACGCTATGTTTTTCTAAAATAGATTTATGTTATGTGTGACATAGATTTGCTTTTTAATTTCCACAAACTCCTCATGGTAGAAAATATCTAAATAAAAACATAGTTTCTCATTGCCACTGTAAATTAACAAACATTTCCTTGTTGAAGCATTTTCATTTATTTTTGCTATTGTGTTGAAAAAGTCCGAAGTCTAACAACCGTGTGTATCCGCAATATCATAAAACTCGAAATAAAATCAATTTGGTTCGTGTTACAAGGACAGCGGTCACATAATTTTTGTAACGCTAGTTAGTTTTTTTAACACTAAAATACGGTTAATTTTAACTAATATTTATACATGTATTGTTATATAATTTTGACATAAACCTTATTATTTGTAATAGTTTGGATGAATTAATGTTGCCTTTGCCTAATTATTAAATAAAACACTTAATTTTTTTTTAATTTTGCTACGTTAAATGCGCGTGCATACTGATAGTAATTAGCCAATGAGTATGTAATGTTTTAATTGATCTTACATATTAATAATGTGGAGCAGCCATGGCTATGCAGTCGAGCTGAGGTCGGACGGCGCTAGCGGTGGTCGGATCGGTGAAGTTGCGAAAGATGCGCTGGATATTCCCCGTCCCAGGTATATATATTTTTTTATAAAATTAGTAATATTTTGAATTATTCCATTGCCGTTATTTACATTATTACAACTAATATTTATATCATATTTTAAGATAAAAGTCCTAAGTTTTAAATAATACATATGCTTGTTTTTAATTAAGGTTTGAATCATTGGTATATAGTAAGTGGTTGGATAATAATAGTAACGTTACGTAACTTTTTAGTTATTTTATTTATACCATTGTTAAGGTTACTGTGAAAAGCCGACAGAATCGACTATTTATGTGACTTACGTTCGCACACTATAAAATAAATTAGGTTTACGAAGTCTTTACGAGATAACCAATAATAATTTGTTTAACTATTATTTTCATGAGACTGAAAAATGTATATTACAAAATTTTGTTTAAAGCGATAATTTTACTAAAACGTTACATGACGCTATTATTTTATAACGTTTTTAATCTATATATCTAAATATTTTTTTAAAGTGATATATTAAAATCAAATATCACTTAAAAAAAAATCTATCGACATGCATTAAATGCAGCACTACGCGTGTTCCACTTTTTGTTTGGCCATTTATAAAAACGTAACGTAACTATTAACGACCAGTGATGCGTCCGTGTGAAATATTTAAATATAGAACGTCACAAAAAAGCTTTAAAAAGTTCAAATTGGTTGTTTTTAATTTTTGTATTATTCATTTATGAATGTTAACACGCCTATTTTATTTAATTGAAAATTGAATGGAATATACGTAACACGTGTACTGCGCGGTAACACTGCGGATTTAAAAAAAAAAACAATATTATACCTTTATCGTTAAAGTTAAAGAAGTGAAAAGTCTAATAAACATACGATTTGGTTTAAACAATCGTTCAGTTTTGATCGTTCATACCTAAATATTAAAATCTGTAGCAAATATCAAAGTAAATAAACATTCAGTCAAAAGTTAGTCTATTTTTTCCTTGCAGCGACACAACTTCGTTCCTTTCATCTTTTTCAATTTAATTTAGTTCATTTTCTAGCATCCGAATTGTGCGAGATAATTTCGGCATTAAAGCGTTCTAAAATATGCATTTGAAACATTTTGAAGTCCAAATATTTATACAGTTTACTTGCAACTGAATTTTGCTCTCGACTTTACTTACTTTGATATATTAATATCTCATGGTCTCAACCTATACAATATGTCTTACTCTTCTTATCTTACTAATATTATGAATGTTTGGTTGTATGTATGGATGTCTAATTTAGTCCTCTTTCCCTTCCCACCCTTTTTCTTATAAGGAAAGGATGGGAAGTGAAAGTGGACTTTCCGGATGAGAGGATGCATGAAAAGGGAAAATATTTTCTTTCTGTGCATCCTCTCCTCCGTCGATTAAAGGTAGGCAACGCGTATGCAATTGCGTATGTCTATGGGTAACGGTCACTTTGCTATTTAAGCGATTTTAGGTGGCCGCTCGCTCGTTTGCCACCTTATGATAAAAAAAATATATGTTTATCCGAAACAACTGCATGGAACTCGCTGAAATTTGGCATAGATAGAACAGCTTGAAAGAACACATAGGCTACTAATTAGGTTTTCTTTTAAATTTCGCACGGATGGAGTTGCGGGCAACACCTAGTTGTCAAATAACTTTATAATTTGTATTGTAAAAATATATGTTATAAAATAATTGAATTGAAAAAAATATTAGCCTATGAGTTCTTACAGACTACGTTCTAAATCTATGGAAATTTTCAAAGAGATACGTTGAGCCGCTCTGGAGATACCTTGTATCAAACAGCTATTCATCCATCTAAACATTCGCATTTATAATATTAGTAAGATTATGGAATAAGACGCTGTACTTTGTCTTAATATAGGTCTAAATAAGTACCTTTTCATCATAACAGTATTAAAAGCAGACGTGTAATAGATTCATTCAAGTGACTCAATAATGGTATTGCGCTGAAAGCACGGTAACTTTAAATTTAGATTTATGATGCCTAAACTGTATTCACTAACTTCGTGCAATATAAGATTGTCGAGCAATAATGTCGCCTATAGATCGACATTTGATCATTCATAATAATTTTTTTTAAATTAAAAATAGCGTTATTTATTTCCCCACACAAATTTGAATATGTTCTTTGCTTTTAGCCGTAATTTTAATTTTCCACTTTCCTTTTTTGTAAATAAAAATACATTTTTCTTTTAAGTTATTATTATTTTTTTTAAATTACTCGTATTATTGAAGTGATGTATATAATTAATAATTATAAAAATATATTAGTAATATATTTTCTGCTTTTAGATCACTTCTTTTAGTCAAATGAAGTCTTTCTGAGTTGATTGGAAACCCCCTATAATTAGACTCGAAAATGTTTTTTTTAATGCGTATAATGTTTACGTTATAAAAATGATTTATATCCGTGTTGCACAGAAATTGGGAGAGATCATAAAACGTAATTTGTAATCACGCTTAATATCTATAAATATCTATTTTGAGAAGACAAGATGGTGTATTGTCGTTTTTTGATTAGGCGTATTTTCCTGATTTTGGTGACTGTTAATACTTTTTAAGAGAACGTGATTGATTATAATACGTTTTAATACAATCGACAGTTAAAACCCATCCCTGTGTCCTAGAAAAATACGAAATATTGGCAGTGCGGTGCCGCACCGGCTGTAGCATCGCTTTGAAAAATGTCTGACGCATTGCTGCTAAAATTTTAACGTGCCCGTACGTTTATATTGCAGTGACCATTTAACTGAGCCATAGCAATCAGAGCTTACGATCTAACTGTAATAATTTATGACAAAAATATTAAACAAAATTTGGCAGCGATTCAATCAGAAAAGGACGCATTACATTTTCTGGCACTTAAAAAGACCTGTATTAAAAAATGTTATCTCTGTTTGTCTCTTAGAGATTGAAAGAGATGACATGGTTTTACATAAGTTCTTCCACGGTGGACACTCGTCATTGTGTTTATGGTGTCACGAGTCGAGACGTAATCAACTACGTTAAAATGTCGCGTGAGATCGTGTGGGTTAACTTAATAGACTCTATTTTTAACCATCCCAGATCCAAAGTGCGCTGTCTATTCCAGATTTCAACGTATTTGTGGAGTTAATCTTTTAATCTATGTAATTTAATTTATAAAATATGTTATAAAATTTTGCCCGTACGTTCATTACTTTTCAAATTTTCATAATGTTACAAAATAGTCGCTGCTATTTTAGTAATGAAGTTGTTTTTATTCTAAAAAGTGGTACAAAAGACATCTTTTCAGTTTTCTCTTGCGATTCTTTCTATTCGTTTTTCTGGCTTATATGAGAGCTATTGTTTCCCAAGAATGTTTGACCGCTGGCTCTGTTTTGTAGAGTATAAAAAATATATACCTACATATAGCAGTAGTATATAACGTGACTACGTAAACGAACTGGCCGGAAAAGATTTGAGAAAAAAACTACATTCTAAGTTAAGTTTAGTATTTCGTTTTTGTTTCTAATTAACGTTAAAATATTATAATTAAACTGCCTTTAACAAAATGAATCATGTCATTGAACAATGCATGAAATCACACAAACTTATATGAAATAACGTAAGATTTAGCGACGTAAAATGTTCAATCATTATGTTGCGCGGCACGCGAAGCCGGTTAGGGTTGTACTGACACTGAGAAAATCGAATCTATCGATACGACAGCTCGTTAAACTCAAGTTACTAAAATATAAGTATAATTTTGTGTTCTTTAACTCGGTAGGACATGATAAAAAGCCAAAGATTTCAATCACATTATTTTTAAATAATTTAATTAAACTGTATGTAATAAAAAGTTCCGTAAGTCATTTGAATTTAATACGAGCAAAACAAACAAGAACCTATGACTGTTATCGATATATTCAGTGTTTAAACATTTGTTTCTAAATTAATATTATCTTAATTTAGTATCGATATTATTACTACCGAACGTAACTAGACGTGGTATTGCATGATAAGGTTTAATTATAGTTTGCATATTAAATATAAACCTACTGCTTTACTGATCCCGACCTCGTGATAACCTCATAGTTTTACATCCATAATTAATTTTTTAAACGACTAAATCTCATATTAAACGTTTCATTACTACAAATAAATATTACTAAATTTTAAAGTTTTGCTCCTTCACTAATTACAAGTTATTTTAGGTAAAATGATCAGCGTAGCCGTAATTTTAAAATTAATATTTTAAAATCTGCCATGTTACATACGTTAGGATATGGTCACCTAACATAAGGCGTAAGGTTTGCTACTTTGTTTCAATATTATGGCACGCTATCCAGTAGTAAAGTTAAAATATAACATTTCATAATAATGCCGTGAATATATTAAGGTGAAACAAGGTCTTCAGGCGAGGGTCAAACAAAAAATGTCGTAGTTAAACAGTGAATAGGCTGGTATTTACGTGGCCCACGACACACAAATGAGCTTTTGATTATGCCGTCGCATGCAGTGCAACGAGGGACGTATTTTTGTCGTGTACCTTCTACTTTTTGCTTTGTTATTATATAATTCATATACTTTATTACTTTGGCTACTTTATAAAGCTATCCATTTATAACATTTTTACATTTTAAGACAATTTTAGGCGATATTCTTACATATAGCGATTTAAATCTTACATTCAGCAAAAGGCTTGTTTAGTCATAATGATAGAAGATAGGTCATGGCATTTTTTTATATCAGAAGGTGGCAAACGAGCGAGCGGCCATCTGAAATCGCTGAAGTAGCAAAGTGACCGTTGCCCATAGGCATACGCAATTGCATATGCGTTGCCTACCTTTAATCGATGGAGGAGAGGATGCACAGAAAGAAAATATTTTCCCTTCCCATGCGGATGCAGAGCAGAAGTGTAAGTGGACTTTCAGGATGAGAGGATTCTCATCCTGAAAGTCCACTTCCACTTCCCATCCTCTCCTTATAATAAAAAAGTGTGGGAAAGGAAAAAGGTCTAAATTAGGCCTCCGGGACGCACACTCATCAGACGAAACGCGGAATTACTTCCACTTCACGCCTGTCTTCTGTATGGTCGTGGTATTTCATCGGGCGAGCCGGGCCGATTCGTGCGAAGATGATAAAGCGGGGTCTACCGCTGTTAAATCTTTTTACAATTCCCTATTTATTAACATACACTCTTTAAATATCTTTTCAGTTCTTCTGATGTCCTGGTTTGGAGTGGACCAAGTAAAAGCAAACTCGTGCATCAGAACTGGTAACAAATAAAAATAATTAGTGTACACTGTCGTATCATGTGAACGTTGAATAGATGTCCTAATGTTATCTAGATTTGTTTAACATTGAGATTGTGGATACGAAAATATCGATAAAAATATCCGCTTGCATTAGCACGTCACTATATGGACTATGTTTTGAAAACAAACTAATAAAGACCTATCTTATCTCGCATAGGTCATATAAATATCTACGATTAAATCACTATTTTGTTGTGTAATTTACTTTATACTTATACGTAGTAATTCCAAGATCTATTAAACTATTGAAATGTATACTTTTAAGGTGCGTTTTTATTATCCTATCCATAGTTAAAAATAGTAATTTATAATGCATTACTCTATGTAGACTATAGCTTAAATGCATTATAATTTAGTTTTATCTTTTAAGGTTTAGATAGTAAAAACGCACCTTAAAATTATCAAAGCATTTTCCATAGAGTATTTAATTTTTAGACATGTTAAAATTATCAAATTATATCGTATTCAGATTCTCAATGTTTCCACTTTTCGGTGTCCACAGGAATGTATGTTGCAAATGTTAAGTGGAATGGTTAAATGCATGCCTGAATTTTACGATGTAAAATTTTATTCCAAATTTGAAATATACTAAGAAACACTTAACAGACATAACTATTAGATAACACATTAGGTGCTCCTGTGAATAACTGGTACTATGATTTCAAAATTAAAAAAAAAATGTCTTCTGATTTTAATATCTCTATAAATGTATTTTAACATACTTATTCTGTTATCTTATTAAAAAAACTGGTAACACAAATATACTAAAAAATCTTTCCAAAGAATATGTGCCGGGTTTAAAGTGTACTATATAAATTTCTTCATATTATACCATAGTAATATAGATACTTTTAGAAGGCGTATAAGTATTTATAGTCAAAAAGAAACCACAAAAGTTCTCTAAGATTATTAAGGTAATAATCCTATTACTTTATGATTTCAGACTTTATCTTGTCTTGGTTTTAATTGTAGGTTACATAATAGTATGTTTTAATACGTTTCATTGTTACGTAAAATCACCTAATGCTATTCGAAATAATTGGATTTCATTTCTCGCCCAGTCTACGGTAATCAAATACTTTATAAGACCAAAGACTATAGAGTTATTCACAGGATAATAGCAATTAAAACCTCTTTGATGTTTGAGAGTGTCCGTTTATTGTGTAGCTAAATGTTTTTTTTTGTTTTCTGCTATTATTTTTCTTTATAACTAATCGAAGCATGGATTTTCAGCATTATGGGCACTATCTCTCAGCCCCCTTGTTCAGGCGAAATGCCAAAGTAAGTACTCATTGATTTTCGTAAGGAAACCTATGTTTTAATGTAACCACAAACGGCTCTAAGCTTTAAAGACAACAGTATCGTTTGAGTCTAATGCCCTTTTATGCTATACACATTACCATAAGCTTTGATAATCGTATGCTTTGCTGTGTTACCTTTACACATAAAAATGTGTAATGAATGGCAATACCAAAATATTGTTTTTTAAATATCTATCAGATTGTATATCGTCGTTCAAACTATTTTTTGTCAAAATTAATGTTATCCTTTTCAGAATAAATAAACTACGTTACCGCGAAACTGTAAATCAATTACTATGTTATTTTGAAGTAATTTTTATTTTTATATGTATCGAATAAACTAAAAAATTACTGAACTTATTTCAAATTTTATTTTGCTACTAGAAGGCTACATTATGAATGATTAACATAAGCTATATAAATTACTAGATTTTTTAAAAATTCCGGACGACGTAGTTATTGTTGGAGACCGTAGACTGGGTTTTCTTCTCTATATACACAATTGATTTATTGTGTTTTTTTTTAATATTTCTCAATATTTACAGGTAAGAAAATATGCTGAAAGTGTATACATATAACAAGCACTTTATTAATGGCATACAAAATATCTTTTTTGATTTACAATTCATTTTGTGTACATACAAAATTATTTGCTTTCATTCGGATTTTATCATATTGTATATTTTTATTATGACAAATGTATACAAATACACATAAACTTACATAATATACAACACTTATACATAGTATGTCCGTGTGTATACTGCTAAAGGTTAGTTAGTTATGTTTTTATTATGACTGTGCAGCTTAAAAAATATGCAACTCATTAAAAATAAATTAATTTTACTATGTTTGATTGTCAATTTTAAGTTGCGACACATTTATGTATATTCTCAGATTATCTGTTTAGACAGACGTTAACGTTCCATTTCGATTTTATTCAAGATAAATAATGTAGGTATTACTAAATGTTTACGATTTAGGTCATTATGAAATCTGAGTAGTAACTTCTCATTTAGAAAACATCAGCTTGATTGGAGATAATTTTCAAAGCAAGTGCTTTTTGTATCGCGTAATGTTTGAGTTTTAAAACATTCTCGCATTTGTGGTATTGTTCCAGCGCTTTTGTAATACAGATTCACGAATAAATATTTATTTTAACATCAACTTATATTAAAATATTTCAAATATCATCACTATTCCTTAAGAGTTTGATTAAAAATTAAAGTAACAAAACGATTTCGAATATTTTTAATCTCGTTTTGAATTCGCTTAAATACTATTCAATACGTATTCATTGAAAGTCGGTAGAAAAACTGCAATAACATATACGAAGGCCGAAAAGTTTGCTTCTTTTTCGTTCAATGTTTTTTATACAGGCTTTTAGTTGCACGATGTATGTTATTCGCTATTCATTTGTTTGGATATAAAGGTGAGTGAAATCCGATGTTTAGTGTTAACGCGTAAAATAAATTGCGGTGAATTTTCAAATATTTTAAGGAAAAGATGGGTCAAAATGTCTTATTTTAGGCGTGAAAAAAACGCCAGTGAAATTTACAATGTAGTAAAAATGCGCAACTAAACACATCATATACCCCAATTACTCTTAAAAGAAATAGAAAGACAGCCTTTATCATTTTATCAGTCAGTGTTTACCTTTATATTAATAATGCAGTTAATTTCAACGGACTCTTTGCCTATTTTCCGCATAATTAAATTCATAACTATGAATAAAACCAAATTTTATGATTTGCTTTCTTTTCTTATGTAAGTTGGCAATGTTTCAATATTGCTTTCTACAAGGTAAAATATGACGCAAACGAGAATCGCATTTATTGTGTGACAGAAGCCTATTTAGTGCACGCAAATAGACTTCATGTCTCCGAGAACTACTATCTTTGTAATAAAATTGGCCATTTGTATGATTTCTTTTATGGTATTAAAAATCTTACTTATTTTCTTAAGGTCCTCGCGTTATAATTTATCCTAATTAAAATGTACATAACACTGCAGTTCTCTTGACACTACGTTTACATAACTTCTTTACTTTATATGCAGTAAAGGTCTGGTAAGGTATGTAGAGCCGAATTACATATAAATTATCAAGAACTAAAATATTCGACCTTTACTTTTGTTTACAAAAAATTCTAAAGAGGATTTTGTTTGAAAAATACCAATCGATTTTTTCATTTGGTAATGCTATAGCTAATTAAGGATGGGTTATAGTCACGGAACTTCGTTAGAAGTTTGTTATTTTGTTTAAATAAAACATTGCGACGAAATAACTGGCAGAGTATAATATAAAAATGAATGTGCGCGTCTGTCCGCAGCGCGGTCGATATACTGCTACGAGTGCGACAGTTGGACGGACTCGAGGTGCAAGGATCCATTCAACTACACCGCATTGCCCCGCGACCAGCCACCTCTGCAGACCTGTAACGGCTGCTGTGTCAAGATGGTGCGCTACTCCAAGAGTCGTGAGTATCGAGAGTTTCAACTTTAGGCTTGAAATCACAGTTTTTGATTAGACTTAGAGATATATCAATACACGTTTCTCATTCTTTATGTTAATAAGCAGATAGTTTCCAAGTAAATTTCCAACAAAAGAATCTCTGCATTTATATGTTTTGTGACAATTTCATATGATTAGAGTTATGGTTTATTTTTAATCTATCGTCGGGGACTAATCAGATTCGATGATTTAGTGGAGTACGTCGTCGTCAGCTCATTGCACATACCTTACACTATTATCCTATTCTAAGCCTACACAATTATGGGATGACTAGGCTATAGTCAACGTAATTTCGTCGCTGATACGTGCAGGTTGGATCACGATGTTTTGAATTACCGTAAGAACTTCTGATAAATGTACATATGTAAATTATAGATCTAGTAAATTTGTTACATGGCATGATTCGTACCCAGGCCTTGCAGATTATACCGACCGCTCTCATATTGACTCGATATTGACGTGAAATATCAAAAAAGGTATCTAATCTGTATAACTTTTTCTATTTCCAGCATACGAGGTGGTGAGGCGAACGTGCACATCACAGTTACAAATCAATCTATTCATGGTGGACCACGTTTGTATGATGGAAAGTACAGGCACTGGTCACATGTGTTTCTGCGAGGAGGACATGTGCAATGCGGCGCCGACTGTCGACGTCGACGCCACGCTGGCGCTGCTCGCACTAACCCTGCTAGCATGTGCATGTTGCAGGTGAAGTAGGACGGTAGTGATGGCCGGTTGTTCATCGATCGATCTGCGATTCCCCATATTGTTGACGATCGATTTTATTCGAATCGACTCGATCATACAATCGAACCGCAAAATGCGGATGGGCTTTATAACAGAATACTACAAAATTTTGAATCGATGTCGATTAACTTACGTATATCGATCGACTGATTCAACAAGGCGTTACCTTACTAGCTTAGATTTAATTACATTCTTCGTCCAATAGTAGATGTAGATTTAGCATTGAAGTGCTTAGTTTTCACAGAATATTAATTGAATTTGAATCATATGCATTTTTGAATTCGGACAGTTTACATTTGGATAACGTTTTTATTGTTATTTCATGAGGATCGAAACAATGATAAATGATTTTAATTCAATATTATTGGAGTTTATGTTTGATTTGTCAAGTTTAAAAAAAAATAATATTGATTTGTTTTGATCTTTTGAAATTTCTGCCAAAAAAATATTTGGATATGCACATTTTTAAATCTTCCAGCTATTATGCGTTTTGAATATGCTTTAGATAAGGTAATCTTTTAAAAAAAAATTAAATCTTAACCTATAACAACGATTTGAGTGTGAAAACTAATCGCTTGAATTTTATTCATCTAAGGAAAATTATTCGTGATTAACGAATTTGTCCTAAATATGAAACAAAAAAAAGCTAATCAAAATGAATGAGATTAATAATAGATATTAGCTAGAAGATATAATTAAATTTAAAATTGTTTAGCTTGTAAATAGAATGCAATACTTTAATATATTATACGTTAGATAATATTAAAAATGGATTTCTCCACGAAGCCTTTGCATCATGTGTTTAAGTCGATCATTGACAACATAATTGCTCATAGATGCACTTTTAAGGATAGAAGTTGGGCACTTATTAGATAGAAAGAATAAAATGAAAACTAGCGAGAACTGCCGCGTAACATAGAATGGAAATATAATTAAGATAGCAAGATATATCGGTTGAAAACCGTAAGTAAAGATTGTTTGGCAAATGATACTATGTCGCAAATAGAATGTTACATTTTAGATAAACCATTTTTATAAAACTCATACTTACAAATTGTGATTTTGTTATTGAGAATGGTTTAACTAAAAATTCATTTACTTTACAAATTTGTGATATAGTTTATTCGGTGATTATTGTTATAGATAGTAAGAGTATCTAAAAAATATTTACTTAAATTGCGTCGCTTGTTAAAAGCAAAAAGCGGACTTTAGAACAATAATCTTACAAAATATACACCTTTATTTGACGTATCAAATGATTTTAATACGAAGAAAACGCTTAATAAAAGACAAAATATAAATAAATAGACACAAGAATAGTTGTAGAAAAAAATTGAAACATACAGAGAGCATTCGTTAAACCAAAGTGCAAAGAAGAAATCTCTTATGATATAAACGTAATGATAAATTGTACTTTAGGAAGTATTAAATTAACGTTCTTAAACATTACGATTGCTGCAAAATGTGGAAAGACTGGTACATGTATTAGTTCCGCTAGATTTGCAATTGTCAATACTGCCACAAATGATTGTCGAGTAGAATCCCATCGTCTCGTGATAGACCAAATAGTTGATTACCTAAAAATACAGCAAATCATAAAAGTGTATGTTACTTTTGTGCCTTATTTGTGTTTTAAAACACCTTATAGTTTCTTGACTTTTGTCTCGTTCAGTTTACAACAACATTTTTGAAAAGCAAACTCCTGTAGAATTTTAGATCTTTGTGGGCAAATCAAAATTAACTTCAAAATATCTAAATAGTGTTGATACAGAAAACGAAATGCCTTAACTTTGTGTTAATTTAAATCAATCGACAAAATATAGACTAATAGCGGTATGTAAAATAATAGTGCGAGTCTTTTGTTACGCTTTTGAGCAATATTCCAAATATATAAACCGACAAAAACAATTTCATACTTGTACTTGTGATGTGTATTAAACGTTTGCCTACGCGGGTTTCTATAACCGTGGGTTTTCATTGCTGAAACACTTTTATAACATGTTATCCCTATCATTCTCTGTGAAATATTGAGTAGCAACGTTTTTCTACGTGTGCTTCAGCAGTGGAAACTCACATTATTTCTGACAGGATAGCATGTTTATACAGATTTCAAATACATGTGTTTCGTGAAAGTCATCGAAATAATCCAAATATATCAAAAGTGCAGTTAGGTTATGCGTCAAATAGTTGTAAGATTAAGAAATGATGCTAGATTTTAGAGTTTGCGTGAAAGTGACCTCGTAAATTTAATTATTATATCATAAATATAGGAATGTTGACACCAAATAATATTAAAGTATTTAATGATAATAATTAATTTAAATTGTAATCAGCTTTTTATTTAAATGCAAAGGTTAGTTGGCGGGGAACTTTGACAAGTGAAAGTTTTACACTTTTGTTACTTTTTACTACAGATAATAAAATCTGTAAAATAAGTTGTGGTTATTTTTTTTTTACAAAATTTTATTTAAAACCTGTCTTTGTATAAAACACGATGTGCAAAATATTATGACATTTGTATAAAATGTAATTTTATAAAAAAAATAAGAAAATCACAAAGATTAGGTATAAAACAATTTCTTCGCGTGAAAATTCAATAATATTTATAGTCTTCGATTTGAAATAAGTATATGGTTAATAAATCTAAACTAATTGTATTTCGCTAGATTTCTTTTTGATCTACGTAAATAAAACGCTAGTATTATAACGCATGAATGCAAATATTCATCATACATTCTACTCGAAATAAATGTTATGAACAGCAGATGTAACTATATTTTAAATTTTCTTTTTCAAATTTCAATATTAGTCGGCCATTTTAAATTCGTTAGCTATACAAAAGTTGATTGGCGACTATGAGTAATAGTATTCGTTTTTTATAAAATCTGTAGCGCTCGTGAAAAAAGGCTTAAGGCTATATGTAAGCCCTATGATAACTAGGATGCCTTGTAATTATAACATTGGGAGACACGACAAAATAAAAGACGTACTTGATTTTTTAATATTATTATTGATTCGAATTTATTTTTATTACATCTAAAAGCGTTCAAGTGATTTATTACTTACCATTGTTTGTGTACTATAACTTTTAATGTAATATTTATACCATACTATCACTCATTGCATGTATTTAAGGGAACATTTTAAAGTGATTTAAGTCTAGCATGTTAGCTACAGCACTGTTGAGCCTGACACTCAGCTTGCGTCACTAAGGAATGGCGGAATGTAATATAAATACATGGAATTCGAGATAGCTATTGAAATTATATAAACAGAATAAATATTAAGTTTAGGTTGGCATAAAGATGTAAAATTTATGCCAGTGTGGATGTACGACTAATGCTCTTTGCCTCTTAAAGTTCCAGTATAAATTTGACATTTAAAAACAGCGCGCATCTACCACAGAGTATAAAACTATGACAGCTTTACTTTTTTTATCATTAAAAAGTCCATATTTGGCATAAATTCGACGTCTGTGTGTCCACCATCTTACATAGCTTTGGTTTACTCTGTATTATAGCTTACTTGAATTGTAAAATTATGAATAGAATTTATAACTGATGCTGTTATTACGACATATAGTTAAAAATGAATAACTCTTTATCTTATCGCTTTAATTTTAATCTCTAATTATTTAGTAATATTGTAAAAATGCAACTGTGTGTTGAAGTATATTTTCATTTACAATAGATTTTTTAATGTTATTTATTAAACGTGTTAAATTTATTTAAAAACTAATTTGAAATCATTTAATGTGATTGTTATTTGCAATAATTACATAAAATTATAACTTCATGACTTACTTTAAGTGATAAATTAAAAAAAAAGATATATTTCAACACTTTAGTTAAGCACTATGTAATAATGATTCTTCCTTCACTTTTTTAATAACATATCACGCATATTTAGAAAGGATATAGTTGTTCTGGTATTGGGTATGGTCAAATAGTGATAACTTACATATCCGGTAAAAGTCTCTACATTTTTGTGACATTAACCGTGGGTTTCCGAGACTAATATCTCTGTATAAAACATATCGTCATCCCTGTCATTATCTTTGACAACACAGAGATGACAATATGTCCCAAACGGAGATTTTAGACTCGGAAACCAACGTTGAAAAAATTAACGGCGTTTCTAAGGTCGCTGTATAAACTGTTAGAATAAACATTCTTCTATTGTTAAAATAACGAATCAATGTGAAAGAGATAAACCTAATTATAGCCGCAATAATAAAACGACTGAATGTGCTGAATTACAGCGAATACAAATTATAAACGAGTGATATTTTATAATTTTTCAATATAACAAATGAATTTCTATTTTTAATAGTTATTAATTATTTAATAATTCACGTTTTGATGGCAGCCCAATACCTTTGAGCATGTACCTGTTACACAATACAAATTATTTAATAATTATAATAATATAAAATTTGGATAAAACGATTCATTAATGGTTAGTGAGTAAAATCGCGTACTTATAGATATAGCTAAAGTTAATGTTATAGATATATGTTTATTTTATATGTTGATATGTGATTATTATCGCATTATGTTAAGTTTGCGGGCGCCCTAATCGTTTTATCCAAAAAGTATTTGATATACTAACTTGCACCTACTTTATTCTAACAAGCAGTTATCGCTTAGCGGTTTGTTTTTAATAACCTAACCAGTTGAGTCGACATTCCGTCTGCAATAAGTCAATGAATTAGCAACGAACAATTTCACCATATAATCCAAAATGTATTATTTTTTAATTTGGCGCCTTTTAACTATTCTAGTAGCGAATTGGCGGCAAAATAATTTCTGTCAAGTATAGTCCTGAATCTTGACAGCCAGTGTCAAATGTCAAAACAAATTTTATTTTAGGAATATTTTTTTTTCAGCCTTATTTTACCGTAGTAATATTAATTGATTACTGGTTGGATCAAAACTATTCATAATCCTAGTTAATCGTGAAAGTAAAAATTGCCTTTGAATGGTGTTGAGCGTTGCTAATTTAATGACATTTATAAGCAGATAATATATGTGGTCTGTCTGTGGATTTTTTCTTCATGTCATTCGTGGTCCAGTACCTAAC